TCGCACGTACGTAGTAGGTAGTAGGTTGGTCGCGCTGTGAAAGGTGGTGACGAACTAAAACAAGCGGTCGATCGGTTGTATACCCAGAGGGTGAAGGACAACGGGCCAAGATTGTTTTAGAGACGTATGTATCTGTGGTGGTTGCAAAAACAAGTTTACATGGAACGACTTAGTCGTCACGAGACCTGTGATTGACAGTACCTTAGGGGTTAGGATCGAAGGGGAATTTATAATCCCTTGCTTCGTAACTATTGTCGAGATGAGATCCCGAATTTTTGGGATAAAGCCAAAGTCACATCCTTGTCACGTCAGTCACGTATTAGACGATCGGACCGGGTTACCTGTTTGTCGAATTTGGGAATGGAGAAAGGACAGGATCCATCATGCAGGCTCATGCCATGGGTTACCCGACTAGAAGCGGCATGGCGGGGTTTGTAGGGGATGTTCATCAACGCTCCAGACGCTACGTTTCCATAGGCGCTCCCTGAAAATCCTGGCTAGGACCTAGACTGGCTAGGCTGGGGGCCCTGAAACGAGTTGGTCCAACGCCCGCAGCGCCTCCCGCGTATCTCGACATTTTTATCCGTACGCACGTACTCGGATACCTCTTCACAGATGCGTTTCAATAAGAAATAGAGATCGACTCGTTGGAGATGACTACTACTACTACTACTACTACTACTACTACTACATAAGGAGGGATATTGCGTGACTTTTGATGCTGTGGCATCTGGTTGTCTCCATCAATTTCCATTGTCTGATTACGACCTGTTCTATCATTGACGGTTTACATTGTCTGACTGTTCCTGTAGCCGGGTACTTGTAGGCTCTACAGTAAATGCTTCATTTTGGCTCAGGAGGAGGGAAATTACATGCGGATGTTGAATTACTTGGACCACAGTGGCGGCGAGTCCGAGCCCACCCCTCGTTCGAGTAAGCCCACATACCAATTTCCTTGCAAGTATCAGGGTAGACTACTATTCTGTTGTTAATCAATTACAGGGTAACGAAACGATTGTTGAAAAGTTACCTAAGAACTTACCTCAGCGAGTAAGTCAGTAGCTTATTAGTTCCCAGATCGTGTTATGAATTATTAACGTGTTCTCTCCATGTAAACACTTGATGTGTCACTCTTGACATATCATCCTGATTAATGTCACTTCGTAACTTGGGACGGTTTCTCATCTGATACTACCTAGGCAACACCGCATTACATGATACGAACAGTAGAGACATCATTAAGTACTTGTCAGTTCCAAGAGCTTCAATTGAATGAGATATGGCCAAGTTAAATGGTGTATTCTTCATCCCAGGCACTGGCCTATCAGATATCCTTATAGCCTTAGCCTTGTCCAGTTATGAACTACTGTCTGAACTAAGAGATAACCCATTGTCCACACTATGATATATGACCTATTTGATATTATGGCAAAACCTGAAGAGCTATACCACCTAGCAGCGTGATGAAATCTAACTTCTATTCAGGGATGCACTCCACTATGTGTTACGCCATAGGTTCTCTCGCACAGGCAAACAGATACACGATGACCAATACTAACGTGCACCTGCCCGCGTAAGGAATATAATGCTGAAAGTGAGCTGCAATCTAGTTATCTAATTGAGGCGATTTGATAAATGTTTTTGAATACACTTTTTATTCTTATATGATGATGGTAACGACCTGCATGTCCATCTGAAGCGTCGTCTGTTACAGCTCCAACCCCGTTTGTTTGATCCGCGACACAAGCGCCGATGCAAAGTGGGAATAAAAACAGACCGGCCCCTTTCCATCTCAGCCGATGCCAGATCTTTTATTGACATGTTTTCCCCCCTTTGTTTCCAAATTCGTAAAGTTTTGTTTTCAAGAAGCTCTGGTCTCAATTTGAGGGCAGTCCATTCGAGATCTTGAGCTTGATCCGCGGCCCCTGTCACTGATCCAAACCCACCCTATACTTTCAGGGTATATCAAAGAATCATCCGCAGAATGCAGACAGTCCTAGTCCTTGTTGGCACAGCTGTCTTGTACGCTGTGTATAAGTGTGTCTCTGGACTGCGAAGCAATATTGAAGCGGCAAAAAAGAGCGGCTTGCCTTACATCACTGCCCGTATATCTCCCACAGTCCGTTTTGACTCAATGTCTTAAAGCTAACATTTAAATAGCTTGGTCACCAATCTTCGGCCCATGGATACTGGCTCATAAAGGATTGGCCCCGATAATTAAACTGCTCCCCAAGCCACTATGGGAAGAATGGCTAGAGTATGCATAGTCACTCTCTAATCGAGCTGTACTAACGTTATCGACCACAGAGTTTTGACGCCTGGATTCTCATATAATACACGCCATGATGCCTTTGCGCGCCACGGAGATGTGTTTATCGTAGTCTCTCCAAACATGCTCTTTATGATGACCTGCAATGCCGAAGCTATCCGTCAGATTACGTGCCGGAGAGAGCACTTCCCAAAATACGTGGAATCATACGAGATCCTACGAGTGTTTGGCGACAACATTCTGACTTCAGAAGGCGCCATCTGGCGAAACCATAGAAAAGTGACCTCAGCTTCATTCAACGAAAAGAATGCTGCTCTTGTCTTTCAGGAAGCTATACACCAGGCACAAGGTTTAGTCAATATGTGGATGGGATCAGGTGGTCAAGACAGTGGTACTATCAACACACTCGACCAGGACACGATGAGGCTAGCTCTCAACATTATTGCTTATGTCGGATTTGGCCTCAAGTTGCTTTGGCCCGGAGAGTCTCTGCCAGCAAAGGCCAATCCAAAAATGGCAAAGTATGGCTCTCCAGAAGCCACCGCAGGACACAAGATGAGTTTCGTGACCACAATTGCAACTGCTTTGGAGTGCATCCTGCTCATTTTGCTTGTTCCACGATGGATACTGAGTTAGCTCAACTTCGAGAGGGATTGCTGAAACGCTGGGCTAACAACGCTGTAGGGACAATGCCTTTTAAGAAGAACCGGCTCGCAGCAGAGTCCCATGACGAGTTTAGTAAATATATGCACGAGTTGATGGACGAGAAGTTTGAGGAAGCTCGAAAAGGCGAGCATGTCGACGGCATGGACCTGATGGGCCAGTTGGTAAGATCCAGTTACGCGAACCGTACGGGCGAAGGCCAGCAGGGTACGCAGTTCAAAAAAGGTGCACTGTCACGAGACGAAATCCAAGGAAATGCCTTCATCATGCTCGTCGCCGGACATGAGACCACCGCTGGGGCGTTGTATTTCATCCTGCTAGAATTGGCAAACAATCCAGCATCGCAGAGGCGATTGCAAAGGGATATCGATGAGATCTTCGGCGGGAAAGAACCAAGCTCATGGGATTATGACACGCTGATCAACCCGATGATGGCTAGCATGCTCGGCGCCTGCATGAATGAGACTCTCAGAATGACACCCGCAGTCGTGGAAATACCAAAGAAAGTGCCCCCGAAACAAGAGCAGGTCATTACTATTGATGGCAACAGCTACTTGATCCCAGGGAGTACAATCATCTCCTTGGTAGCCGTATCGATCCATCGAAACCCACGATACTGGCCTGGGAGACCAAGTCAGATCCATGTTGGTAAGGACGACATCAATGACTGGGTACCTGAGAGATGGTACCGATCGAATGAGGCCACGACAAAGCCGACAGAGTCAGATGTTGCTACCTCTGAGAACGAGGATTTTGGTGGATACAAGGGCCCTGATACAAGTTCGCAGCTCTTTCGGCCAGAAAGGGGGTCATATATCCCCTTCAGCGACGGGCCCAGATCATGTCTCGGCCGCCGGATTGCTCAAGTGGAAATAATCGCCGCGCTTGCGGTGCTCTTCCGGGACTACAGCCTGGAGTTGGGGGTGGATGAGTGGGCAAACGATGAGGAGGTCGAGAGGATGAACAAAGAAGAAAGACGCGACTTGTATGCAATAGCCCAATCTGCAAGTAGGGCCAAGATATTAGGTGCGACTTCACTGTTGACGCTTAAGATGAATGATGATTACGTGCCAGTAAGGATGGTTAAGAGGGGAAAGGAGAGATTTGTGAGTTGGCTCTAGGTAGAAGCTATCGAGGACAGTAAGCAGGTATGGGTGAAATATATTTTTGTCATTTACATATACATTACACCTGTATATATGCACTGTCGCTGGATCCGACCAGCCAGTGAGCTATGAATTCAATATGCAGTTCATGAAAACCTAGGTACACTCACATGGCTTGGTTCCATGGTATGTCTAGTCGCCCTATAGAGTAAATCCTATATACTAGCAGCGGCAGTCTATTAGGCGAAGGTGAAGGTGAAGGTGAAGGTGAGGGTGAAAGTGGAAGTGGAAGTAAAATGAGGTCATGTAGTCCGTTTGTAGTCGAAACATCTGATTGGGCTCAATCTTCAATTGTTCACATCAGTTAAAATGTAGTATCAACACTCAAAGAGCAGGTGAAGAAAACAAGTGTCGCGTCTTGCGAGTAACGCGTTTGCCTACTCACAAGAGCGGTCCGTTATGACTGGCTCACGGTTGCGTCTAACAAAAAGAGTTAACTTAGGTAGGTAGGTTGTGGTTTAAGTTTACATGTTAGATTCCCAGGTGGGATGAGGTCATACCATTGCTTCCATCCTTCATCAGTGAATCAGCACCAGCAATTTCTAGCGACTGAGCTGCAAGATAGAGCACGCTGATTGGTGCAAGGTCATAGTCATCAACCTAAAATGATCTGCGGGGAGACAAAAACATAAACAACCTGGGAGAGACCCGCTATTAAACGCGGGCCCTTTCTTCTTCTTCAGCAGCATCACCCTTCCAACCCGGAACCCCCCAACACACCACAAGCGAGTTTGTACCTCCGTTCTTCTCATCATCACCATCAGCTTCATTTTGCGCTTCTTCTGTCGCACACCAACAAATTACGACACGTACATATACATCAAGCTGAAATCTACATTTTGGAGTACCTTTTTTATTTTATTTTTAATTCCAATTACACACACTCTTCACGACTCCTCAACATGTCTACTCATAGATACAACTCATGGTTAAAGACCAAGAAGAAGGGTGAACTGGAGACCCTCGCCGAGTCTGTGGGACTATCAGGGTGAGTCCTCCGCCGTCCATCCAGGAATCTCCATCATACTCGCGCGCGCAACCATCGCCAAACACGAGTAGCAGGCCAAATTCTCTTTTTGTTCCTATTGTTTGCGACTAGTTGTATCCAAGCGCAACGCGACGCGCCCACTTTACCACGACCCCTCCATGCGCCCATTAGCCATAATCAGTCGCGCTGACATGATCCAATATAGCCTCGACGGTTTCAAGAAAGACGACCTCGGTGTAGCTCTTGACAGCTATCTCACAGAGAACTCGTCGCGCTTTATCGCCGATCCAGACCTCGCTGGCTACTTCAACAGTCGTTCCAAGGCTCAAGGATCCCCGATCAAGAAGGAAGTCTTCCGCGAAGACAGCGTCAAGGTAGTTCGACGAAGGCCCTCAAAGCCTGTGGAAGAGGAATCACTTGAGTAAGCAGCTCATCATCTTGGTCTTCCTGGCGTCTCTAGCGTTCTTATCAGTCAAGGCGCGCCAGTGCCCAAGGAATTCTGCTTCGCGCGTATCGTGTTATTAGAACCGTTGAGCTAACAAACCCATAGTTCGAGTGACAGAAGTGACATTGCTTCTTCTCCCCTAGCTACATCTACTGCGCTTGTCGAGACTCCTGGCCGTACACTGGCGCAGGTCGCGTCGAGCATTACGCTACATGCGCTACCTGCGACTCCTGCCGATGTAGCTCTGGCTGTTGATCGCTCAACCAGCATCGTGCGCCAGCGCGTCTCGTCAATGTACGAGGAAAGCGGCATCACTGAAGTTAGCCATGCGACACGCGACACACTCAGCACTGTCACAAGCATTCTCTTTTGCGTCGCAGGTTGGGAGTTGTGGAATGTCCGTCGCGAGATTCTAAGCAACATTTACGCCTTCACAATTCCCGCCATCAGCACTCTTGGCACGCCAGACTACCCTGTCTATGTTCCTGACATGTTCTTGCTTCTCACCTCCAGCTTCTGGTCCCCTGCCCTGACCTGGATTCTTACCAGCGTTGTTATTCCCTCCTTTGTTGGCTACTTTTTCAACCTCAGCGCCACAAGCCCCCCTCCTTCGCGAGTTCGCCCTCGTCCAAGTTACGCCGACTACGTCGTGGACCCCTTGACTTTCAGTATTGTCAAGGCACTCGTTTCATTTGTTGTCTACGGCCAGGGCGTCAACTTTGGCGGTCTTCTGAGCGACCTTTCAATAATGCGCCTTGAAAACGCTGTTTATGGTGGCTACAAGGGCATCTTGACCGGAACTGCCATTACTGGCTTAGTGAGCATTTACGACGCCGTTCTGAGGAAGTGAGATGTTTAAGGGAGGCGGTAGATCATGTGCCAAATAAGCTCAATGAACCTAGCCCTCTCCATAAACTTCAGAAATAAAACCACAACGATGGGGGCAGAACCTGAAAGCGCTGTCTGATTTGGTTAACCCAGACCAAGCCACCCAGCGTTTGAGCAAAACGTGCTCTTTCTTATTCTTTGGGTTGACGGCGTTGTAGGATTCGAGTGTTAACGGCGTCAGAGGTGTTTGATACCTGGCGAATGGATTTTATTTTTCTCGTGCTTCGCCTGATGCATATGGGTTCTTTGCGCCGCTCAAGCGGCTGGGACTCCTCCCTTATTCCTTGACCAGCGTAACGCTTGCCTAAATAAAAAATTGGTGGGATAGGACTAGCGATAGCTGGTCACGGACGGGATTTCATATGCTACTTATGTTGGTCTTACATATCATATCCTTGATCCTGGGGTTTGGTTTTTAAAGTTGTAAATATTGCCTTGAAACCCTCCGATTGGACTGTTGAGATCGGCTACTGAATTCGACTTGCATTTGGGATCGCGTCTCCAGACATTGAACGTGTTGGTTGGTCCAAAAGAGTTTCTATCAATCGGCACGAAATTTGGGCATTTTGTAATGGTGAACGTGTTTACACTTCTCGATCGTGCACTGCGTTAACCACCTGGGTATTGCTCTTGCGATCGAACTAAATACCAGTTAGTATTTCAGCGATGAGGTGAAGTTGTGTACACCTGGCAGCAACTACTTACAATTGTGTGCCGCACCGCATGCCTCAAAAGTGCTTGCCTTGCAAGAATAGAACGGAATTACCATTGCCCTGTCAATCTTAATAGCAGCCTTATTTACCAATGTTTTGGTGGTTATGAATGATTTCCCAAGCCTAATACCGACTTCGTCCTCTCAAGACTTGACTTTGTTTATAGTACATTGGAGTTAGACCAGCCGGCACGTTAGGGAATACATTTCAGCTACTTGAATGAACAACTTTGATAGGCATGGCTGTTTATTTGGCTTGAATCGTTTGTTCACATGAAACGACAAACATCCTTATTTAAGCAACGGCATGCACCACAAACAGCACAAATAGGTACACGACTCAGAATCGGCTTCGAAATTGGTTTCAAACCCAGATGAAATCTCACTCCATACTGCCACCTCTAATACTAGATTGAATCTATACAAGTCGCACCATGTTCACATGTGTCTTCCCAAAATCCCCCCCCAGTCCAAAACGCCCTGTAGCATAGGCGGAGACCATTTCCGCGCCTAGTCCTGGATGTCTCGTACCCAGAAACGACATGCCACACCGATTGATAAAATGAGAACAGAGAATAAACAGACGAGTTAAAACACAAATTTTTAGTGTTGAATGATGCAGACAACCTCATAACATTCCCAGTCTGGAATGAGAAGAATTGATTAGGACGGCGTTCTGGAAACCCTTGATTGCAGAGAATACCGAGACGGTGGAAGAGAAATAGAAGGTAAGGTTCAAATAATAAAGTGTCTAGGTAAGTCTAGGACGAGTTCGCTGGTTCCGTAAACGGAATGCAAGCAGGGCGAAGGAACTGATAAAAATAGATGCATAGAATTCGCGTCATCACCCTTCTCATCGTAGTGTTGGGAATCGGATGTCTTGCCATTCAGTAATAGTCGTGGGTATATTTGTACAAATGCTCCTGCAAATGCATATGTGCGTGGTGATGTCTGTCGTGTGCGCTGGTCGAGGGTGGACAAATAGCGTCGCCTTGCTCATGACGGCGACAAGGTTGAAGGACTGTTATTCTGCATCCCTCAACTTAAGGCTTCTCTGAAGGATGCTCAAACTTGATGGGGTGCACCAGCATACCACGCAGACATAACCGGCCGCTGCTGCTGTCCTTCATCTCCTCTGTCTTACCACCTCGCTCATGTCCTTCGTTAGCACGACCGCCGTGCTTGCCACGACCATCAAGCTGAGCATAGCCCAACCACCTGCGCCACAAAAGACCGGCAAATTCGCTGTTAAAATACCAACTGGTGCCCTTATGGTTGTGTTCATTGAGCTGGTCAAAGGGACTGCCAGGGCCAGATGTTGAGTGATCACGACCAGCGTTGAAAGCAGCGTCAATTTCACTGAAAGGATACCAGGCCCGGTCGAGGAAGATAGGATGCGGGGCATACACTCCCTTCATACCATGGTGAAACGCAACAGTAGGCGGGAACATCTCCGAAAACATGGTGTGGTGGTATCGCCAGACTTCCTCATGCATCGACATCAAAAGACGACGACTGAGACGAGACGCGGTGATGATAGCGCATCGTCGAGGAGGAGGAGCCTTGTAGCCGGTAGCATCATCGGAGAAAACCCAACCGGATTGCTCGGTATCGAACAGAGGGTTGAGAGTGATGATGTCAGCTTCCTCACCGACACCGCACTTGGAACGATCAGGAGCATCAGAACTACAAGAAGCAGGCATCATGGATTGACCCCATTCATCATGTCGTAGTTGTTCCTTGCCTTCGAAGGACAGAGGGCCAAAGATGGGAGCGCGACCAGAGGCCAGCGTGTCATGTTGAACAGTTTGAGAAAAATTCTCCCAGGTTCCGTGGTAAGGAGGGATGTAGTAACGAGCGCTACGTTCCCAAAGAAGGGTTCGAGGCTGCTCCTTAGCCCACTTGCCAAGGCGGTCGAAGAACTCGTAGTAACTGCCGAGGTATCTCATATCCATCTCCCAGTTCCAGTAATGCTCATATTCGGGGTGCTGCATGGCGAAAACCTGGAGTGGGAAATGGGCGCTTCGGTAGATACCGTGAATATCGGCACCACTGGGGTTCTCGATCGTCTCTCCAAATCGGCCGGGGTACATGAGTCTCATTTGAGGCTCGCTCCAAAGCGAAACCAGACCTCGAAACTCGGCGGGAACGTTGTCGTTGATGATGCGCTGCACCGTCCACTTATCTGACCAGATGGGCTCATCGATGTTTCGTACCTGCATCAGAAAATGAACTTGATATTCGCCACCCGATCGTAGCGAAAGCTCGCTGATGAGAGCACGGAAGTTGAGGACAGCAAGCTCAGTCCACTTGAAGCCAGTGTATGTACGGACAACGACGGCAATGCGTCCTTTCTTGTTGCTGGTCTCCGAGAGCTCGCCGGTGTCGGCGTTGACCTGCTTGAAACGATGCTTGTTGGCTTTGTAGCAATCTTCCTGAGCATCGGCCCAGTTCACGTCGATGTAGTTGATTTTGCCAGTTTCCGCCCAAACTGCCTCATTTCCAGACGCCTCAGTATCCAGACCGGTATCCAGACCACCTTGAGCTCTGCTATAGCCCAGGCCGTAAGGGCCATATCGACTGAAGCGGTCGAAGCAAACATCGTCCCGAATGCCGAGGAGCTTGTAGGAGCCAATTGCGGGATCAGGCATATGCTGAGGAACACCGTTGAAAGCATACAGATCCGGGGCGGGGACGGTCTTCTTGGCGTCGAGGTAGCAAGTCTTGACATCGCTACCATGATCATAAGGGATGTACTTTTGAGGCTTAGGCACGTGGTCATTCATGGCCGGAGAAGGTAGAGGGGCCTTGTCAGTAATGTTGGGGTATTCCGAAATCAAGTTGGCCTTGCTAACGATGGTTCGGAGACCGTGAAAATAACCGTCGAGGCTAGAGGCGAAATCAGCAACACAAAACAGGACAACAAAACTTGTGGACATACTGAGGGAATCTCAACCAAGGCATCTTCTCAAGCTGCGCAGCAACTTCCTTCTTTTCGTCAGCAGTAACGTACTCGTTCTCCGGTACGGTTTCGAGCTTTCCGTCACCATCCATATCACCAGTAAGCATGACAACAGTCTCGCCCTGAGTGTTCACGACAGTAGCTGTCGCTATCGGCTGTTGAGTTTTGGTACCGCTCATCTTTCCGACACTGTAGCCGGAGCTCCTTGACTTGACAAAAATCAGAGTGATGAGGAAGGCGACGCCCAGAAGCCAGGTGAAAATTCGCCGGGCATGGCATGGACCCAAGAGCGACCGGATCCTGAGTCTTGGCTTCTTGGTCTTTTCAGAGATGATGGAGTAGGGGAGAAGAGGGTCAATTTTCCTGCCCGAAGGGCCTCGCGAATTATTATTGTTGCGGGCGGCCATGGTGACTGAATGGCGCCGCTGCATACTAGGCCGATGATTTGTCGAGTCGCAGAGGTTTGTGCGGAGGATGCTTGCAATGTATAGATATAGGCGAGACAGGTAGTTTGCGAAAATTATCGTAGATACGGAGCGAAAGTCGTAGTGGAGCCGGCCGACATCGAAGGGTTCGTTGAACAAGTTACAGGTACAGGCGGTTCTGGCCGGAAAATCAATTGAAAGTAGCGACTGGCAGTCGTCGAGATATCCCGCAAGGAAGGTCGACGAAAGATGTTGTCCAAGTAGGAGCGTAAGTTAAGTGGACAAACAGTGCTACCTCGTCACGAGACGGAGGCAACTAAATGAAAAGGAGATGAGGCGGCTGAACAGCACGATCGCACAGCGCAACAGGCAAGCGCTTGAAGCAATACGGAGGCCCGGTGCTTGACGACTTTGCGATGAGAAGCGAAGCAGAGGGCGTCGTCTAGGAGAGCGATGAACAGACCGAGCGAAGAGCGGAAAGCGTTGACGAGGGGGGAAGAGAAAGGAGGGGGAAAATAAGAGAAAAGAAGTTGAACCAAGAAGAGATAGGAGGGAGAAAAAAAAAAGCGAAGACAGGCCAAACCAGACAAGGAGAGGAGAGGCCAGCGCAGGGGATTGGGATTATGGACACGGGAGGGACAAGGGGTTGCTACCAACTAAGGTATCCTGGGCTAGGACCTTGCAGAGGGCGATAGGGGGACAAGGGGAAAGAACAGTGCAGCAAAGGACGAATTTACTTAGGGGGAGGGGCCCGCTACGGAGTCCGCTAACGGGACCAGGAGGGAACGGAAAGTACATTTATGGGACCTACAGTAAGTAGGGGCTAGTAGGTACCTGCCTGTAACTGGACAATTCAGAGAACCTAGCTGTGATAGGTGACTTCGAGTTGAGGTGAGATTCGTCCAATGAAAGGTACCTAGACGAGAACCCGGGCTGGGGATGTACTGTGCGATTCCAAAACTCAATCAATCCCGCAATAGTAGATAGTGTTTCTCTCAAGCTATTCCTCTCTTTTCAGATAATTTGGGTCTGCATTTGGTGGCGGCTTATCACCTAGGCAGCCAGTAACCTTGGCTGTGACTCGGAGAGTCCGGGAGGCATAACATAATGCAAAGCACCGCACCGCACAACACCATACCATAAAGCACGGCGTAGAGTGCACTATAGTGCCTGGTATCTTTAGACGATATGGCAGTGCTTGGCATTTTTGTTTTAAGGGATCCAAATAAGTCAGTCTGTGGCAGTGTTCTGTACTAAAAAGGCTGCTCAGATGTGCGTTGCGGACATTGCGTGCTAACAACACGTAGAACCTGCCGATAATGGATCTGATCCAAGGAGCTGGTCGGTATTAGGTGATGTTCATTCTTGGCACAGTGGAATCCAAAAGAGCAATGTGTCCTTCATCTGGTGTCCGGGACTAAGCTCATGCAGGGAAGGGAAGCTTGTACTTGCAAAAGCCAAGTCTTTCGCTAACAAGGGATCTTGGGTCAAGGTCAGGCATTTGGAGAACACCAAAGAATTCAGACTGGAACAGGGACCCATTCAAGCTTTGGGAAATGGGTCCCCCGGTCTTCCCTATATAGTAAAAAAAGGTTTCTGAACACAACCCTCGTTCTTTCTTGCACCAGAAATTGCCGAGAGAGCCCAACGACTGGGCCTTTCTTCTCAACGTTTGCTGAGACAGCGTTGCTCGGGGGCAGGAAAGGTGGAGGTCAACTTCCAATTAGAAACGCCATTCGAATCTTATATCCAACCAACGTTCGAACTTGTGAAGCCATCGGGGGTTTCATGAGTTTCAATTGGTCAAGAATTTGAACCTGGTTGAACCCCCGCTGATCTGACATCTCAGTCCATCAATCGATCAGTCAATCAGCTGCCCGCTGTAGGTAAGTCCAAGAACTTGACACTTACAGGATACCTATATAACTGTCAACAAGAAAGGTTCTGGCGATGCCATCACCACTGTGGTGTTGTCCTACCGCCCAGGCAGTGAGTGCTTCATAAACCGTTGTCGGAACAGTAACAAGTATGTACTGTGTAGTAGATTTGACAAGGACAATAGCGCTGACAATCTTTGCCAGCTATAATAAGCCTTGACGCAAGCATTGCCTCCCCTGTCGTTGCGCCATAACCCAGCAAGCAGTTTTATCACTCGCACCCCAATCAAAACGGCCAGAAAGCGCACCAGGGCCTTCAAGGGTGACGGGTCATTGGGCCCGTGCCGTGGGTCTTCGAGCGAGGGTCAGTCCGCCCCTATTGTTAGAGAAGGGAGAGGCTTTGCTACCCGTGGCTCAAGTTTGGCACGCTTCGTGATGGAGCTTGAGGCTTCAAACATTGCCATGCCTACAGCCGGCTGTGGTTGCGCGTCCTGTAACTCCTGATCGACAACGGAGTGTCAAACACATGGGTTCATTCGCATATCAGTCGTCACGGTACTTAGCAATACAATGCAACATTGCGGCTCTTTACTGCGACATCACATGGTGTTGGGTATGAGATTCGTAAGTGTCTGGCGGGCGGTTGCCGCCGTTTCTGCCACTGCTATGATTTTGTTGATGCCAAACCATCAGTCTGTTAACCTTTGAGCAAACGAGCGACCAAAAGCACATGGCCTGGAACTTAATCGACGCTGAGCGTGTGTGATTGGTAAATAAACCTTCAAAATGGTCCCCCTCTTTTTATGCTTGTTCTCATCTCGTCACGACATTTCCGAAAAAAGACGATTTGTGAATCTGCAATTGAGTTGAATTGAAGATGACAAAATTGTAGGTAAAAAATCATAGGGGATTAAGCGGATGAAGTGGTCTTTCAAAACTGGCATATCATCTCGAAATCGTCTCCAGAGCTGAATCCGTCTATCTTGGCCAAGCGAAGCAAAGCAAACCCCGGCCTGAATCCGGCCACGCCCCCCTTCTGTTGGAGGATAAGGGTGAGGGAGAGGGTCTTCCCGCCACGCGTCCTCTTGACCATACCGCCTACTCCAATTATCTCACAGATGGTTCATGATTGTGGGCATTGATGATGGAGAATTGGTTCGAGATATTGACCAACGCTTTATTCTGTAACCATAACTGTGGAAGCCCTGCATCCTGATCTGATGGGATGCGAGAAAGGGTACACAATTGTTAACCAAGCTACTATAACATTGATTGACCTTGTTAACTTGTCATCAAGAATAGTGACATTGACCCCCCACTATCGGCCTTCCCTAGGCTACAGTTGTGAATCAAGCAATTGGCCTAGGTACTATCTGTAGTTAGGTTTCTTGATCTAAGTTTAGTACATATAATGTAGTAGCATGTACCTAATACTTGCCTATTATTATGCTTGCGCTGAACCTCTATCCAAGCCAAGCTTTTGGCCTAGTTTTATAAAAGAAGAAGAAGAAGAAGAAGAAGAAGAAGAAGAAGAAGAAGAAGAAGAAGAAGAAGAAGAAGAAGAAGAAGAAAGGACAGGCTTCGACTTCAAGGCCATAGGTGGCACGACGCGTGAACATAAATATAAGTGAAGTGATGTTGCCAATAATGCCATGTAATCAACACTTCATTCACCTCATGCTTCTCACCAAACATGGACCCATTTTTAACGGCGAGATTGCCAAGGGCTGCTCACCTACTGACACGAACTTGGACGTTCTAGTGCAAGCAAGCCAAGGAAGAAAGCGAGCCAATTCTGCAGCCAGCCCTGTCAGCTCGGGGTTTTTTCTCTTTTGCGTCTGGCTGAAATGGCTGATTTATGGACCTGGTTATCCTATCTGTTGTTGGTTGTATCTGTCATTTACTGACTTTTTTCTGCTGCCGCATGATGATGGAATTACCAGGAACGGCTGTGACTTGGATGGGTTTACTATTGTTGGAGATATAGTATTTGCTCCACGGCAGGGCCCTTTTATTGATAATGGAAAGGTCCCTGTTTCTCGTGTTTCGACTGTGTAATGCGTCGTTGAACTGGCAGTGGAGGCTGGCTCAAACCTAGAATAGAACAGAACATGCCAGGTCACAACAAACAGATGCTGTCTTTAACCGCACTATGTAGACTCGTTGAGCTGAGTCTATTCGGGTTAACGTACTACAGTTGTATACAATAATTGCCCTTCATGTCGTAGCCCGACATTTACTACGATTTGTAAAGTAGATAGTATTCGCCAGACTAGATCAGCTCGATATACTTGGTAATAAAACAGGATTCATTCTTATGTATTCTCAGTCCTTCGAGTCTGAGTTTGAGTATCTAGAGCAAGCCCTCATCCCAATTGATACTAGTTGAGTGCATTATTCTGAAAAAGCAATCTCCAAAGAGTCTCGAGGTCATTTCAACAGAAGCGGGCCACTCAGTAATTCAGTCCAATCCAATGCTGATAAAATGAAATGCATGCCTGCCCCCTGCCCAGCCCTGCATTTACTTCTGCAAGTGCATGCCTCCAACTAATACAAACAATTTCATCTTAATTTCGGAGCCTTTTCTCATCTCAATTAATTGCTTCAGAATGCAATTGATTGCTTGATCTCCGGCCCGGAATCCCTTGGAAGATCCAGAAGTACAGTGCAGTCTACTTTAACTGCTTGGGTAACACGTCTCGATACGAGTATCTTTAAATCGGAGACTCGCCCGATCTATTGCTGCTCTTTATCGCCATCCTATCGTATCGTATCTGACGACCATCAAACAAACGTTGGAGCTAACGTGTAACCTTGCTAAGCCTACTCCCAAGTCTAATCCTAAGTTAGTGCTACTGAAGCTCCGCTGCGTTATCTCTCAACTGCACACACCCTATTCGACGACGCCACAAAATATCAAACTAACATTTGTGAGTGGGAGATGGATCCAGTAGAATACTCTCTGTACAGTGGCATAATACCAGGATTGGTCTCCGAATTGTTTTATCCGAACCTACCTACACTACATAACCATGAGATTTGGTCATATTGCTTCCCTTTCGCCTTTACCTTGTGCATGGAATTATAACGGTTCTTAATACCTGCGGTTGATCAACAGTTCTTGCTTCCAACTCGCTCGCACAATATATACCACATCAATGCCCATACGTCAGTAAAGAGTCTAGCCAGTTGCCTATCGGCACTCTGGCATTCCAAATGTTCAGCAAAACCTGGTTGCTTTGTCTTGTAATAGATCATCATAACGCACTATTTTGACCAATTGCGTCTTCATTATATGTCTCGGGCACAATGTCTCGGCTTCGCTGTTCTGGACAACTCCTCTCAAAATGCTGCACCAGATACGATAACTCAAGTGCCCTTATACCAGCCAGTGGGGAGTATATACTTGCATGATGTTACGTCCCACTGGGTACCTAGGTAGTATTAGCCTATTTATCCCTTGAATTCCTAAGCTTTGCCTCCATTCTTTCTCTCCAGCACTTCCCCCATCGAATTGCAGCCATAGTTGCCAGAGCTGAAACTATCAAGTACGCTGCTGATATGGTGGAGAACCATCCAATGCCCAGTACCTCAATTGCTGGTAGAACTACCGCTGATGCCACGCATCCGACTAGATATCTTGCGAAGAAGTTTGTTGCGGCCACTTCAGCTCCTTGGCCAGGCATCACATCGAGACAGTACGTGTTGTACGATGGGAAACAAAACAGCTGCGCAACGCCCTGCACAAACATGGCGATGACTGGAACCGGGATGCCACCAGCCTCTTGGTCCACAGTCCAGCCATAAACCAGCATGCTTCCCGGAATGATTATACCCACAAAAGGCATCGTAGATCGAAGCCGGTCTTCAGGAACACGAACACCACGCTTCTTGATCCATCTCTTCACAGTGTAGTCCGCCCAATGACCCCCCACGAATGTTCCAGCTAGATAGCCGAAGCCTGGCGCTAGGTAAAAGAGACCCGAGAACAGCGGGGATTCGAGGTTGAAGCGTGGGTTCAAAACGTATCGAATCGGTGTTAGAAGGCTGTACATGTTCCATGTCAAGGATGCGCTTCCGCCAGCCACCAAGGCAATATTTGGATATTGAAACAGACGCAGTACTCTCATTGGACTGATCATGCTCAGGATTGTGAGTGCCCTCTTCTTACCAGAAAGAGTTTTCAGATCATCAATCTTGAGGTGGTGAGCTGTTTCGGACACAACGAAATAGACGCCCAAAAATCCAGCTGCAGCTAGTGCTGTCTGTAACCAGAAAATGCTCCTCCAGGACGAAAACGTTACAATTATACCACCCAAGAACGGCCCAAACGCGGGACCAACAAGGGTTCCGGTCAGAAACCAACCCATGGCTGCACCGCGCTCTGTAGGGCGGTATATATCACTGTCCAGAGTCAGTATCGTATCTTAGACATGATTGCGTATTTATGTGAATAGCCAGCTTTTGCTTCAACCATCCGAGTCCATAACAGCAACATATGTTTGGTCGGTTGAGGTAAGGCTTGTGTCAATAAATAAGATAACATACGGTCTTGCTGGAACAACAACCACTCTATAAAGACCTTGCAGCTGACAAAAAGAAGAGAAGGCATATAATTAACCTACCCAATGCATGCTGGACCAATGAGGATAAACGCTGTTCCGCCAAACGCAGAAGCGGCCCGGAAGACAATAAACGACGCGAGGTTAGGAGCCAGTGCGGTTGCCAAACTCAGTACAAAGAACATGACTGATGAGGATAAAGCTACCTGAATATCGAGTTAGCATGTATTAATACTGTTGGTAATTGAGGACATCAAAGGCTCTATAGCCTTGGCCTATTTTAAACAGCATGGGCAGTGCTTACAATACGCCTTCCATACATTTGACTCATGGGGCCCCAGAACAGAGGAGACAAGGCCATGACGATCATATATGCTGCGTTGCTCACATTGATAATACTTCCAGACGTGTTGTAAGTCGTCGCAACCTCTGGTGTTGCTGCCAACACGGATGTACTCGATATGGGCGATAAGAACGCCCCAAACGACAAGACTGCAACTATAGCTATCTTTCGTCCTCGAGACACCTTGTCAAAGATCTCGTCGCCAGCTTCCCGGTAAGGCTCTTCACCCTTTGGGGCCTCGATCGTGGCAGCTGGCTCGAAAGCATCGGGACCGGATATGTGTGATGTTGCTCGGTTGATGGTTTCTGTAACTGGGTTCGGGTTCGATGCCGCGATCTGTAGTGAGGCTTCTGCATCATCGGTGACTGATGCTATCGAAGATGCTTTGTCATGCGGATCTTGTTGCGAGGTCTTCATTGTAGCCGCGGTAGGGTTTTTTACATTAATGTTGACGTCTTAGTATATTACTGACCTTCATTTCTGTCTCTTTATAGAGCGAATTGGTCTCTTGTTGGGCAGGGCATGCGTTGGCATGCAGAATATTGACGGCCGAGAGAATGACTTGACGCCTTGAGCAAAGCAACAAGCATATCATCAGTTTGTTTATGAAAATTTTACAATCACATCCCAGCAAAACGATTACCGATCTTCGGAATTCCCCTCCTCCATTCCTTGACCCTATCCTAGCTTGAATTGATCAATCACTCCCGGATCCATTGATCGTAGTGTCTCCAGAACCCACTCCCACTCCCTTAATTCACCAATACCGGCAGTCAGTATCCGTATTTATGCGGATAAATAACTTACTCTGGCATTTCCAACTGTCACTTGCCAGAAGCTTGTGTACAAATGATCCAATCCTGACCTGGTTTTGTGCGGGAATAGCCCGGACAAACATGTTCTTAGGATGCGGTCTGCAGAATCGGAACGGTGCTTCCGATCACCGTCGCCGGAATCCACTCTTTTCGGGCCATCGGCCGGGCCATCGGCCGAGCCATCGGGCCATCAAGATCCGATTAGTTGACCTCTCAGACCTCTCCATCATTTCATTAACTTGGCTATGAAACACGAAAAAGTCCCAGGGTTTATTTGAACTTGTTGATCTGATTATTTTTTGCGTTTCTATGGACAAATATGAATGTTCAGCGCCCAGTTGGCTGTCCCTTCTGTAACGCTAACTCCTTCTAATGCTTGTGCAGATGCGTATTCTGACTTCAACAAAAAAAGACAAACTTTCCTACAAAGGGTATTCTTAGACCTCAACAATAATGCAAAACTCCTTTCCTCGACCATCCTTCTCATCCAAGTAGCTTATGTACACGATCTTGTAGTACTCGGTCAACAGGTTGGTTGTTGCGCTGAACAACTACATTTTCTCTGCCTCCGATAGTGACAACACGCAGCCACTCCGGCGCGACTTCACTTGCAATCAGCCGCACACAAGCTGCGCCCTCCTCCTTGGATACTGGCATTCGGAGAGAATCCTTGAGTTTCTCGAGAATCACTGCCATTGTAAAGGCTTGTCGTGGTAGTGACATTGGGTTAGACAGTGTCAACATGGAAATAGTGGCCGCGACGTCGCAAACACGGTTGAGGGCTGCACGGCGCTGGAGCTCGGGTCCTGACGGAGGGAGTGGCTCATTGGCTTTGGTCAGCTGCTTTAGCCGGAGCCTGTCCAAAAGGCTCATCTTGGTTCCGTCTGGATTAAGAAGAGGGTTGTGGGAAATGGCGGTTTGTTTGGCTGCCTTCTCATGCTGCTTCGTCGCGACACTGTTCTTGAGCTCCGAAAGAGCACGTTGCCCTCTATCGAGAAGAGGGTTTACATTTATCCCGTTGCCCATATTCTTTATGTCAACCTGGGGGAGCTCGTCCAATGAAAGAGTATTCAATGGCAGATCGATATCCATATCGTCAGCAAAGCGTTCGGTGCCCAATGCTCGTAGGTTGATGCCAAACTGCCTCAATAACCGTTCTTCGTTGATAGGTGCCATATCGGCAGAAGAGCGTTCGACGCAGATCTTTCCCCGCCCATAGTCTGTAATCATGAATGGCGAATGAGCATTGTACTTGGCTGAACTTTGAATGGCGATACAGCGACGAATGTCCTCGATAGTGACCTGGCGTTTCCCCCAGGACTGTGAGATGTGGGGAGCGAGCGCGCGAATGTCGATAGGAGAGTTCTTTCCGTTATGGGCAAGTTGGATCATGATAGTCTTGACAAATGCTTTGTGTATGTCGATGAGCTCAGCGAGATGTGTAGGCAAAGCATCCTTATCCGCCGTGGGTTTGTTCAGCTTCTTAAAAATACCGTCAAGTTTGGTCTGTACTGTTTTCCCTTGTCTCTTGCTTTCGGACAGGGGTGTAGAGCCAATAGGTTTGTGTGCAGTTTTGGTCCTTGAGGGGGTTGTCTTGGCTGTTCGTTTGCCTTTTGATACTGGCGTCGTTCTTGTAACTGAGCTGATGACTGACTCCTTGCCTCGAAGTGGGCGTTTGACTGGCGCAGAAATTTTATCTTCGCTACTGGGAGCGAATGAGGAGGTTCGAGGTTTTGTCCTGGGATGATCATCTTGTTCGTCTGCAGCCGCCTTTCGTTTCCTGGTGGTTCCTGTTGGTTGGATTTCAACGATGACTTTCTTGGTACCACCGGTGGGAGTATGGATTTTTGATACGCGAGTAAAGCTGGTGATAGATTGGTTGGCAGCAGGTGCAACCTGGGTGCGCCTGGTTGCTCGAGGCATCTTAGACCAATGTCCTTCTGTTCAGAGCAGGAGCGTCGGAGTATGGGAATAAAAGGCACGAGTGAGGAAACTTGGACCATGAAAATCGTGTTGCAAAAGCGAGGAAATCACGAGGCTGTTAATTAGATAGGGAAGTACTAAGCGCGGAAGTTGTAATGAAGAATTGTTAAAATCGCCAGGAAGGTGTCAAACATGTCTGAGAAGGAGAGACCCATCCCCCCGAAAAAAAGAAGGTATGTGTTCGTCGTCAAGGGAAACGCGAGCATATGCGACGCGGCCCGGCGCGTGTCGGCGCGTCTAATCCGCGTAAAGGGGTGCCCACGTACACGAGCCCGCTACCTAGAGGAAGGAAGTCACCGAGGTACCACACAACATGGCCCACTACCGGCCGGGTACAGTACCCTCAGGGTATCAGAAAAATTGTCCGCTGGAAGCACACGAGACGAAATTAGTAGGTCACTTTATGCTCCTTAGGCTATAGTTCTTAGACTACTTATTCTTATACCCTAAGGCTTAGGAGGCCAACTTTTCTGCTACCGACTAGAGTACCAACCTGCACTTCAATTCCGACAGTTAGCGTTCATCAAATTTATCCTGATGTCACTCTGGCATTGTCAATCTTTTAGCAACGTCGGAATGTGGCTTGTTTACTCTCAAAGTCCATGCAATTGTCTTTCTTCGTGCATCCCGTGTACCTCCCTACTGGCTTCTCAGATATAGCTTGCGGGGTCATCAATATTGAAGACTACAAATACAAGGCATGCTTTAGTTCTCGGATGTTATACCTCTTCTCTACCAACACAGGGTCTGCAGAAAAGTAGGCTCTAAGAAAAGCGATTGATCATTCCACGTCTTTGCTCGTTTCAACCAAGAACTGCTTCTCTATGATGACTTAGCAATATGAAAACCTTAGTTGAGCGCTGATAGAATACAGCGGGCTGAACGATAACTTACACGCGACGATGGTGGTTTTCCACGTTACACAAGACTCTCCTCGGCTCCCGTTGCCTGAATCTAGTAGGATCCACGTTTACATTGTGGCCCTTGATAAAGCAGGAAATGCGCACCCCGTACGGAGTAGCCAACCACTCTTTCTGGGGACAAGGATATTCATTTTCGTGGCGACACTCCACGAAACCCTATAAGGATGCATGGTGAGCTTCCCCTCAAGCCCTCTTAAGACATGTAATGGCGGTCTGGCTGCCTGCCTCCTAATTGGCGATTTCCTCTTTGCCTACGCCCTCGGTGTAAGACGGATTTGCTGTTTTGCAGTGCCACCCGTGCTCCCCGAATGACAAATACTTGCTTTGGGTATTGCGAAAGAGGTTTTGTACTTGTTTCTAGGTACCGATGCAAGGTCGACTTGATCGATACAGAGCATCATCGCATAGTGAGCTCAGGACTGGTAACTCAACTGGTCAAGGGTTTAAAATACAGCTGCCAGCTGGTGAAGGTCTAGTAACAGCCATCACTAACTTACCATACATAGGTACTTGACGATTATGGATCGAAGCACCTTCAAGCTTCTCATTTATAGGGACTTGCAAATCATCGAATGTTAGCCCAGCCTCAAGTAAAAGATCTTGATGTCTTGCTTGCTCAAGTACTTATTTAACTATACCTCATAAAGACTAGCCGGTGTTTTCCCAGTATACTAGACAGTATAGCGTGTTCATCCTGATGCTGGTCTGAGGTTTTATAAAGAATTTTAACAAAGTACTATACAATAGTGTCGGCAATCTGTTACCACAGACTTCCAACAAAAAACATACCAACTACAAATACCCACGATCGCCTAACCGAAACTCGAACAAAAACATGACAATGAGGTCTTGCCAGTCCCCGTGTCAACCCTGTGCGCCCTTGACACTCATTACTTGATTTGCCCTCACAGTTGACCCAGACTCCATAGCGCTCGACCGTGATATTGCAATAACGCCGAAAAAAAAGAGAAAAAAAAACAGAAAGAGGAAGAGGAATAGGAAGAGGAAAATATTATAGATCAACGTTGCTCTTATCCAGCCCGCCGCATATATGAGTTGTGGGGGCTGAGTAACGAGTTGTGTCTGGTGCCTTGTAGCAAGCATCTTTGTCGCCAAAGCTTGCATCTCATCGGCGGTTCGACGTGGCCCAGTGCTCGGGTCTGAAACTGACAGGACTGGGAGGAGGAGGTGCCGGAACAGCATAGTCGTCTTCTTGAATGTGATGCACTGGAGTTGAAGGGCGGTCCGTCTTTGTCGAGAGAGTTGCGTTTATGCTGGTGTGGAGGAGATCCTGTGAGGTGACTAGCCTCATGTGGCGAGGCGAAGCCTGGATCGATGAAGAGTGAGAAGTGGGCATTTTTCTTCTGTTTATGGAAACTGGAGGTCAATAAACTGTTTGCTCGAGAGACCGAAAAGACATATGGGCTGAGGTGAAGCCATTATATAAGTAGAGATTCAATACGTACAAGAATAGCAACAGAGAGAGGCTTGCGTGTAAACTGTGGGGACAGAATGGAGACAACCGTTGTATGAATCCAAAGTCGTAGATGCGAAGACGCGGCAGTGGAGAGAAGAACTTGAATATATTATTCGGGCCGAGTTGATAAAGTGAGTTTGATGTGAAAAGGATAGTTCAGCAGCCAGTGTGATCTCAAGTCGACTCTCTGACGGGCGGATGGATAAGAAGTTATACACCTTTACAGCCGCGGTCAGAGATAAGGCGAATAGGTAGGTAGGTATAAGAAAGGCGCGGGTACAAGCCAATAAATTCCGGGGAAATGGGAGGAAGGGATGGTCCTGATAAAGGGAGGAGGATGTCATGTTAGGTATTTAAAGGAGGGAGATGAGATGAGCCGCCATCCATTCTTCCCTACGGCTCAGACCAGCCAGCCCAGCCCAACCGGAACATGGATTGGACTGGCCTGAGTTGGACTGAGCAACTCAAGTCCATCCTAAAGATAGGGCAAGCAAGGGCTTTGCAGCACGATACGCCGGTACCAACGGCATTGACAAGGCGAGCCTGCTCAGGCGGAGGCAGCGGTAGCGGCCTGCAAGGTGAGACGATAAGAGATAGGAAAACCTGGGGAACAGGGCGGGAGACATATCTTGGCGTCGGTGCTAGTGAAGCAGGTACAGTACTTGACCTCCTAGTACCTTAGTATCTACTATACTACTATTCTGGGCGTGTACATTTACCACCAGTAGTACCCCGGTTCTGAAGAAGAAGAAAAAAAGACTGATAGACTTTTGGACATCAATCTATTCGTGGTCAAGTCATCCTAACTAAAAGAAGCATGTTGAGGTGTGCATGTGGCTACCTATGTGCATAGAATAGAGGCCTCACTATCTTAGTATGTAGTCTAGCTACCTAGGTCCAGATTAACCAATAACTGTTTGCCTACAAATTTACCACATCACTCGAATATCACTGGAAGGATTTCAACCATTGAACATGTATCTAAACTGTACTCCTTCACTCCCCGCAAGGGTATGGTATCTTCTGACACGTCTCCATTCAGGTCAACAGAAAAGAAAATAGCATAAAAGAGCAAACAGGGAAGAGGGGAAGAAAGAAGGAAGCATAAAAGAAGCTACAGCCCAAGTATGTAGTTCTGTGCGGGCTAATACAGAAAATCATTTCGCGGCATACGAAAATCACATCAAGCTTGGGCCTGTATGAGCTCCGGGAAATACTCTCAACAAAGAGCCCAACAAGCACCTTGTACCGGTCATGAATCGGACATTGCGGGCTCGATACAGAATATGTAGTTACAGTCATGATGGGGTGAAACGTCAGTCTGACTCGCATACTCTGTATCTTCTAGAAATTCGCTTGTTTCGCGGAGGCTCGCCTATACATTCAATCCATGCAACGAACCTTGTGTTTGAGCCCGATGCAGACATGAAGCGAAAGTTTATTTCCAGTGCAAGGGGGGGGGGTCCTCGTCTCCATACCAACATGAGACGACGAGATAGTCGAGCTCGTGTTCTTTTTTCCCTGGGATTGTTATCATCTTAAAGCACCCCTGACAAGGTATGTCTCGCGGAATGACTGGCACTGGCGAATGCTGGTACAGATACACATGTACGACAAATAAACCACCTATTATTAACCCGCCAGGCTGGGGAGACGTCAACAGATAAATGGCAAAACAGGGTAACTGGGCAATATTCCTAACACACATTAAGTAAAGTAAATTGTCTTTCGGTCTTCAGTGACAGGTGAGATGAGACGGTATGTGAAACCAAAATCGTCCTTTTTTTCTTTTTTATCAGGATGTATGTATTGCATGTCAGGAAAGGAAACCAAAACATCAAAGATTGAGCTTTGATCCTTGGGGCCTGTGGCTGACATTTGCTTGTTGTTCGTAGTTCAGGCTACGGATACTTACACCACCTTGTCGCGCCCATTGCTGTCAGTAGCGCTCATACTGAATTGGAATCCTTTTATCTGTGACATCAGCCAGCCCTCATTCCTTCGGGTTTCAAACAACAACCTGGTCTCTGAGTTGTCATCTTATACTTCCGCTGGGCTCCATAATCCGGCGACAGGTCACAATAAGTGGCTTGGTTCTTATCTCTTATAAATTTGTCATGATCCTCATCCTTTCTCTCTCTTCGTCTGATTTCAACAAGTATCTGATATCTGGGTGGGACATTGAGAGACACATTGCAATCAAGTAATTACCAGCATATCTGCCTGCACAGTTATTGCGGTTGCAGTACTGGCTTTTAACGGATAGGAAAAAGGGGTTTGATGAACCGTTACTTTTGTGATCATGCTATGCAAACCTGGACACTGAAGACCAGCTCAGTTGCTCATCCTAACTCACGACGATGAAGTATCGGAGTTATCACGTAGCACAACACGATAGCTCCTGCATCCATGCGCTTCCTCACCGGATGGCCGCCAGTCACCCTATCAATATCCGCAACCTGAGGCGGATCTTCATGAGTTGCTTCCGAGTCAACTGACGCCACACCAGGTTTGTGTGGTCAAACGATAGATATATCACAACACGAAGAATTCATAATTAACAAAGACCAAGTATTCGAAATGAATCTTGTTAAATACACTGAAGGAGACTAGAAACATTAAATCTTCTCCATGGAATTTTGAATCCTTCACTTCTTGCCAGGAATAAAGTATCGATCGCATTGTCTTGTACATTCCGAGTCTCACTGCCATAGCTTGGAGAATACAATTCGGTAGTCAAACATGGCGAAATGCAAAGTCTTGGCAACTATTTAAATATTCGCTGTCGGTTGGGTGATTTCTGGATGTCCACGACAGTTGTAAGAGTATAATCAATGATTTTGTCTGTGGTTTGTATTATTGAATTTGAGGAGAGCTCGTCACACCCCATGACATCTCATCGCATAGCTCTTTGACGATGTAAATTAGAAGTGTCATCCAATTCATACGACCTGATGGTCTGTTTGATATGTGTTGAAATATATAAGTCTCAATTGCTACCAGTGTCCATCCTTTTTGTTTTCAAGAGGTCGGGCTCTAATATGACAAACGTTTCTCCAGGGCAGGCTGCACATCAGAAAAATGTTCTGTACTTGTCCATGATCCATGAAGTAGTATGTTATACTGGCTGTGTAGACAATGTTCGGCATGCATTAATCTATACTTTGTTACAGTCATTCAAGTCTAGATAGGAGGACTCCATGTGGTAGAATAATGACAGTATACCAACTTTGTGGAAGGGGCTTAGTTAATGCCCAAAGGCAACACAACGATAACAACACTGGCATAAAACGGGCGGAAGAAACGTTTTTATTGGCCTTTGTCCTCATAGACAAACATGGTCTATTACGGTATACCCACAGCATGCATTTAAACTTCTATAAGCCACGCCCAGCGCTAGCAATATACTATTTAACTCCTATGCGTCGAAGCACTTCTTGTCGTTGCAGCTGTGCCTGGGGCTGCCTTAGGTTTTCTTCGTGTTGGCTGATAAACATCGTTGAAGTTCATTGCTACTCCCAGGAATCGCATGTCGACATCAGGTTGATACGCTAGATCGCCAAGGAGAATCTGGACGCGCGTTCGGAACGATGCACCTAGGTGTCGTAGGCGTTCTTGAAGAACCGGGAACTCGGATGTGACAGCACCAGAACCTGCTGTTGGGGTATCGAGGCCATCATGATCGTCCGTATGCCGTGTAGTGCTTCGCACATCAGCCTCTTGGCGCTGTGTGAAATCCGACACACTCCAGCTATAAAGTCCATCGACCGAGTCTCGGTAGTTGAGCATAAATCGAAGGATCTCGCCGAGCTGCATCATGTATGTTGTGCGGTCATCTTCGTCAGAGCTATGGGTACGCCGCTTGGCCCCGAGGAGGCCTTTGTGAGTGATGTCGTTGAGGTATCGTGTGTGTGCCTTGATGAGGTCGTCCAGCGTACAGTCTTCCTTGTGGATCCGCTTCTGAAGTTCTCCCCACGAAGACTCAATAACCTCGAACAGAATGTAGTACTGCAGCTGGCCCACGAAGTGAATCATCTCTGCGAGGACGCCTCGCGTGGATTTCCACGTCTGGGAGACTGCAGGATCCGAATTCTGTAGGACACCACGAGCACCCGTCATGCACTTCCGCCAGGTCGATAGCACAGCAAATTCAACTCGCTTAATACGCCAGAGGAAATTGAATACTTTGAGATATTGCCTGTTGCCCCATTCGGTCACAACGACATCAACGGGCGCATCAATTTTGTATTCAAGAGTGAAACAGTCCCAGCCAATGTCACCATGTGATAGCTGCAGCATACGGGCATCGAGTCGGCGTAAAACTTCAGGAGAATCGTATTGTGCGTTTGATCCTCGGATAGCATGTTCCAGTTGGGCCGTCAAGGTATGTCTGTACTGCGCACCAGCGGGGCGATCGAGATTAGCAGCCAGAGATTCCATCAAGAGGGCGATAAAATCTCCCTGGCCTAAGAGGATATAATTCTTCAACGCCTGGAGATGTTTGAATAGGTGGAATTTGTTGGCCATCAAGTCGATCAGACGTTTCATAGTGGTCTTGTGTGCCTCGTCGATCCAAGCTTCTAGGGTGGCCGTATCACCGTACCTCAACTCCTTGGAAGCAGCCTTGGAATAGTCCTCCACCCACATAGCATCACCACAGCTATGCCTGATAAAGTTGAGAGATTTTCCGATCAAGAAAACCTTCTGGGCAAAATCCTGGGTGATAATGCTGGGAATCATGTCTGTGTCGATTTCATACTTGTCTTCCCAAACATTGCCTGCGCCCTTAGCTTTAGATGTGTCCTTGTTGGGAGATTGCTCTCTGACGAAGAACTCCTGAAAGGGATCAGATAATTCACCATCGTATATCCAGTGTCGTAAAATGTCATAAAAGGGCCGCGTAAAACTTGACAGCAGCCTTTCAGCAAAAGCAGCAACAACAGGATCCCCGTGGGAAGATGAGAAGCTGTGAATAAGAGACACAAGCTGCCCGCCTCTTTTCTTTTCCGATTCTTCAGCTATCAGACTCATGAGCCTGAGGCCCATTGTTGCCTCGCGAGTCCATACTACGCATCGCTTGAGCGTGACCCCGGCTTTTCCAATACCTTCTCTTGGTGCATCGTCATCAAGCGATGCAAGGGCTCTTCGGATTTGACTTTCGAGTGTTGCAATCAAACTCAAGTAAGATTTGAGTTCCCCGTGAATGGCTGCTCTCAGGCTTTGGCCAAGTAGTCCTTTAGCAGGAGTCTTGCAAAAGCCGTCAAGACCGCGATAGAGTAATGACGGCTCTGCTAGAGTATGGAGTAGGGAGACAATTGGTAATGGAAGTGTTGGTGGTAATTTGATGATGTCTGATTTGGAGAAGGGAAGTGTAGTAGATGTGAGTCCTTGCAAAGTGAATGGTAAATCTCTAAGAATGACGGACTCTGGAGGTTCTATCTCTGAATAATTATTCGCCGGCAGTGTCGATTTCAAAGAGACATCTCTTTTTGGCGGTTCGGGGCGCGGTTCCCCTTCTTTACTCGGCTGTTTGCTCTCTTTTGGTGGAAATTTCTTGAGCCCATCTGGTTGAAAAGCCTCTTTGAACTGTTCCTCCTCAAACCTAGACGTCTTGGTGGCACGCTCTCGGCCTTGCCGTTTTATAGCGTCACGATTGATGGCATCTCTGTAGTTGGGCGCCGATGGCTTTACAGGGCTCAACGGAAGGGGTTCGTTGGGGTCTGGAGAATCAGCGAGCTGGTAGAGAAGGTATAGTATTGCCCATTTGTGCTCCAACACTGGCAGTGATAGCAGTCGCGTATAAAGGTTAGAGAAGCGAAGGGCTTGCGTAGGGTTGCTCTGGATAAGCTTTCGTTTTATAAGATCGGAGGCATGGTTGACATCGGAAGAAATAGCGGGGGAGGCTGGACTGAGCCGCGAATAGTTAATTTTGATGTATCAACCGACAGGTCTTTGATAGACGGAGACACGTACCTGTCTATTATAGACTTGACAATTTCAAAGCAGGTATCATGGCGCTCTTGTGCAACTTCATCAGGATCATTGGGATCACTGGGCACAATGTGGGTTATCAAACTGTCAATAGCGTTGGTGATGCGGTCGGGGGCCATGACGGCATCGTCGCAAACGGTTTGCGACTATGGGAGCAGGAACTGCTGCGGAGAGAGAAATTGGGTGTTGATTCACTGTCGCGGCTCAGTCAATAATTGACTATGTGCAAGGGTAACTTTTGGTTATAGATGCTCAGTCTTGGGTTGATTAGATGTAGATACCCAGACTCAGACGCGCCAGACGCGACTGTAGTAGTTGGTGGTGGGTGGTGTTGCTGCTGCAGGGCGGATTGTTTTAGTGCCCTGTCAGAAGCCTAAAAGTGGTGGGTACCTTCAAAGCCCAGCACAGCATGAGGGGTTAGCAGGTAGATAGTACTTAAGCATTGCGCTCAAGTTCTCCATGACCAGGCATGCTTCGCGGCAAAACCCAACTACACTCGAAACCCTTCATTCACCTTGAACCTTACGTCCACAGCGGCACAAGTCAACCATCAATTTAAACGCCGCAATATGCCTTTCTCATCAATTTAATACATATACTGTGATCGTGTTAAAGCACCCATTCGTTTTATACAACTCATGCGTCTTTTCCTCACGTCGCGCCGCGCTACTCTGCCGCACGCGACGCTGTCGCCCATTCGACTCCTATCAAGATGCCAGACATCGACCCCGCGGCTTTGAGCCGTCCATCCGTCAGCCTCTCGACTCCTATTCTATCCAACAAGACTCTTGCAGGATCTGTACCCGGTGCGCTAAAGATCGCAAAGTCCAGCCAAATCATTCCCGCCCGAATCGATTTGGAACCGCTATATACTGCACTCAAAGTCGCCATTGGCAATGAGAATTGGGCAATATATAAGGAATCAACAAGCGAGTTCCTAACAGGTATACATCATCACATATACTAAAAATCCTCGCGCATGCTCATGTGTCATCAGGACGCCTTAATCAAGCTGAATACTCGGAGAGAGTAGACCCCATTCTCGCTGGCCCAGGCGACAAAGAGCACTTGCATAATAACCTCATCGCTGCGATCTATGGAAATGTCACTCGAGAAATGCCCGACCAAGGGCTGGCGCCTTGGGTTAGTGCCAACGATAAGCCTGCGGCGATGACAGGAGCCAAGCCAGTGTCAGGCGATGCAGCAGAACGGAGGTTGAAGGGAGATGTTATGCAATTACCAACAAGGGATCGAAGGCGCATCAAGGATCTGGTACAAAACGATGTTGGTATTTCAAAATTGTCTCTGTTTCGATCGCTGACAGGTAGCAAGTGGGATCCGCACGAGAGCATATCGAATGTGTTTGCAGACAGTCACCGCAAGCCTTCCACAGTCACAGTTTCAGATGCCACCCCTACAGTAGGAGGCATCAACAACATGAGTATGTATTACAGTGAAGTATATGTATTACGTGGAGGTCCTAACACGAGAGCTAGACTTCGACCTAGAGATTCGAAAACGATATGCACAACCACTGGCGATCGAATCTGGCGAATTCCCCGACATCAATATGATCTCTGGCCGAATGCTTCCCTCTTGTTATGAGGCAGGTCTTGTTAATGGCCACACTACCGATGCTCCACAATTCATGTCAGTGGCTGTGGAAACTTTCATCAAAGAAGTCCTTACCCAAGTGTTCAGTCGTACGAGGAGCAACGGCCCTGGTGATACTGGCAGCGCAGGGTTTGGTGTTGGAACCACTTGGATTCAGACACACAAGTACAAGCGTCAGTTAGAATACGAAGAAGAAGCCGCGATGCGAGGTGAGATCACACGGGATAAGGGCGGGCTCCTACCGATCGAGTCACGGGCGGCCAGCGAAAGAGGCCCTCTGAGCATGTCTGATCTTCGCCTCTCGCTAGAAATGGCCGATTCAGGGATGGCACAATTCCCCGTATTAATGACTCAAGTTGTTTATAGCTATCGGGAAGGCGAGCTGGAGAATTGGGACGACTACACCTGGGTCTATGGCCAAGCACCTCAGGATTATGCCCACGAGAAATATGGCTTGGACGTAAATGGAGGACGTGTCTACGAACTTCAAAATGGACACCCTGACTGTATGGATATCGACACAGAAACCTGGTGGGAAGGCGCAGACAGTCAGGATACCGATATGCTGGACAATGTCTTGGATTCATGCCTCGCTGCATCCTAGCATGTATCTTGATCAGCTTCAAGACTATAATTTTTGCAGTATTGAAGCTAAGAATGGCCATCTCGGCCGTCACAGAACAGACTCGGAATGCACCAAGTCTGAGTCAAAGGAAGTGGTCTGCCGCTTACTCAAGCCAGAAGAAGTCACCCGTGTGCGAAAATACCGTTATGGTATCGCGAGGAGTGGAGATGATGGACAGAATACCAGGCAAGTACGATTGGGATAAGCAAGGCGTGCAAGGAGCCGGCGTTGGACAAACACAGCCACGATACAAGACAGCAGTTCGCATTGACGACGCGCGACTCGAATCTGAGGATCCAGACGAATGCATATCAGTCGGGCGGCTTTATCTTTGGCGCAAGGGTTTGGATTGTTTTGTTTTTACTATGTTTTGCTTTTTGATCGTGGTATTGTCATGGGCTCCTATGCCTTTTATATGTATTTTTATTGCTGTTTAGGGATAAGCATTATTCCCTCTTGGCGTTCTTGGGATGAGGAATGAGAACCTTGCCGTGCACAAGAGGGAATGGAACGGGGAGGATGATGATTTTTGTTGTACTTTGTCATTGCAGAACGATACCCGTGCAGCTCTGAGGGCAGACGTTGCTCAGTACCAGTGATGGGGGGTTTTGGGTGGACATGTTGACTGTATAGTTGCTCAAAAAGACCTAAATTTGAATAATGCTTGTTGTCATGATAGTAAGTTAAGAAGTCAAGTGACTGCTTCCTGAACTTGCCTCTGCTAGAATCCTCCAAAGATCATGAACGCAGACACGTGTTGGCAGATCGATTATGGTGTGTCATGAAACAAACTTCATGTTAGGCCTTGTAAGTTAAGGCATCGGAATGAAAGCTATGGAACAAGGCGGTTGAGGAGGAAATGGGCTTGGAGTGCCAGCTATTGAACCATCTGCAAGCCTTCTGTACTGTAGCCACTTACTACTCAAGCTCCCAAGTCAGTAATCGCCTTCCAGAGTAGATGCTATGATCAAAAGATAGGCCTTGTGCTCTCTCGTTTGCATAAGGTTAAGTAAAGCAAAACAGTAACGCCAAGCCTTTGTCATGTTCCATCCATCCACAAACCGATGCTGAAAATACTGTCTCAACTGGAAGTCGGCAAGCGGCAGAGAAGAACCAATGTCTTCGCGATATTGCAGTAATTCGGCGTACATACCAGAGAGTAGAAAGATGAACAGAGTGGAGTCCCAAGTTCCTTTGCGCATCTATGTTGCTTTGGGTGATTCTGCTTCCGGGAATTAGAGGCGTCCGCTAGCAGCTTGAGAGTCCTGACTAACACCACCAAAACCAGTTTGGAGCTGATAGATCAACTGGCCACCAACTCATCTTGCACATGCTCAGATAAATTGCAGTCCATCAGGCTATCCATGCGAGGAATAGGTCAAAAAGAGAAATGCTGATCTGTCCCAAGAAGAGGGATGTTGTGCTACATCATAGATGGCTCTGGAACAATACACAATACAGTATACACAGTACCTTCAGAAAGCTTCGATTCCCAGTCCGGGAGCTGCACCGAAGAGCAGCGGAAGTGTCTGTGGAACAAGCGCCCGAGCAGCTCGTGCCTTTCGGTGGCCCGTGCACATCTTTCTAGAAAGCTTCCCTGACGGCAACCACCTCACAGCTCCCTTCCCCCCACTTCTCTCCATTCCGTTGGTCAGTCTTCAGTCAAGAAAGCAAGAGCTGCTTTGCTCTCTCGCCCTACCCAAGGTACTAACGCCGCCAGGCAAGAAACATCATCTTCCTTTCCGTCCCATCTTCCTCTTCACCTGCATTACTCATTACTCCCTCGCCTTTTATACTTTAGGCATCTATACATACAGACTCAACATCCACATATATTACATCCTCAACTTACCTGTTCATCTTCAGCTGCTCTTCATCGTCTTCCTTGCCTTTGACTAGGAGGCGGGGATCAGAACACCAGAACCCCACTCGCCTGGTTACTCCTCTCTATTTGTCCCCTTCATTTCTTTCAGTATTACGGCAAACCGAGCTCTTGGAACTGTTTGGCATCCGTCGTCGTCTATCGTTCTCGTTGTTTACTATCCTCCTTGGTTCTTTGACTCAACCCCGAGTCAGACCCCTCCTCACACTTCAAACTCTTGATCTGAGGAGCTGCACAGGATATCATCACCCTCCCTGATCACATCTCAGGCGGCAGGGTCCAGTTTACCAGGATTGTGTGAGTTGACCTGTTTTCTTCCTATTCTGCATTCTTTTGTCTGCAATGGAAGCTCCATAGTCTGAACTGTTTAGCTCTCCAGCCATGTGAGCCCTTGTTGCGACAGTACACTCTATACCATGTTATGTCTTTGTGCGCCAACTATAGATTGGCCGCTCTTTCTCCCTGCAAGGCTCGATTGTCTGGAAGTTTTGCGTTTCCCCTTTTATCCTGTCCAAGCAGCTTTTGTTCCTTTGACCTGTGCATGGGCTATGTACCAGGGTCTTGATCTAGGCCCCGCCACAACACGTCACTTTCGAGCGTGGATTGCAGCCCACGTCCAGCTTCATCTTTAGTGCACGCCCCGGAACTTTTCCTGCACGCAACATCCCTTGTCATTTCATTGTTCATTGATCTTTGTCCCTGGCTTCATCTGCAGCTCAGACTGACATACTTTCAAGATTATCTGCTTTGCTTTCATTCACAAGACCGCTGCAGCAGCTGTAAGTCAAGCTCCCTCATTTATGTGACGGCATCACGTTGCCACTGGTTGCTACATTCATATTTTACATCCATTTCTCTCTCCGTCCCCGATTCTCGGCACAATCATAGCAACGACTTCACGTCAGCCGCTGCGTTTTTGCCACACGAAAGCTTATCAGAACCATATACAGACCATTGTCAACGAATAAGTGCTCTCCACTCGCCCCGCGATACCCCTCACACGACGGCAGGTATTGATTCTGTGCCTGTTCGACGACATAATATCGGATATTTCAAACCACGCCAACTACACCTAACCTTACACCATGTCCGGCCCTTTCTCTAGCCCTTTTGGGGAGAATAGCAACCCCTTTGGAACAGACAGGGGCAAGAGGACGAACAATGCCATCCATCGTGTTGTCGAGGAAGAGGATGAAAACGACACCATCACATCGCCTACGAACGCTCGTTTTGGAGCATCACCAAACTCTGCCTCTATGTTCTCGGGCCCCTTTGGCGGGGGGGTTGGTGGCGACTCTTCTGCTGAAGCACCTTCTGCGTCGCGAAACGTCCCAAACCCTGATAGCTACCCGGCCCAGTATAACTTCGGTCGCCGAACTTCAGTATCTGCCGAATCTCTGAAACCCAGTGCCGATTCCTACGATAATTGGTCACCCCCTTTCCATGAGAAGACCCCGGATCAGATCGAGCGTCTCAAGCACGCCATCGAAGGCAATTTCCTTTTCAGTCATCTGGAGGATGAACAGAGCGCTCAGATTTTGGGTGCACTTGTCGAAAAGCCGATACCAGCAAGGGGCATCAAGGTACGTTCGTTCAGTGCAGATTCAGGATAGGTACTCACAAAATATAATAGGTAATCAGTCAGGGAGATGCTGGCGACTACTTCTACGTAGTCGAGAAGGGATCTTTTGACGTCTATGTCAACCCTAGCGGCTCGTTACAACCCGGTCCCGATGGTATGGGCAACCAAGTTGGCAACATCCAGGCTGGTGGCTCATTTGGTGAACTGGCGTTGATGTACAATGCACCTCGAGCTGCGACTGTCGTTTCTGCTGAGCCTGGCTGCACTGTGTGGGCACTCGATCGTGTTACTTTCCGCCGCATCTTGATGGAGTCGACCTTTGCTCGGAGACGTATGTATGAGAGCTTCCTCGAAGAAGTGCCTCTCCTTTCAACTCTCAACCCGTACGAGCGCTCCAAGATTGCGGATGCGTTAGAAACAAAGAAATTTGCTCCAGGAGAGATCATCATCAACGAGGGAGATCCTGGCCATGCTTTTTATCTGCTGGAAAGCGGCGAAGCGGATGCATACATTGGCCAGCCTGACAATAAAGTCCGTCACTACAAGAAGGGTGACTACTTTGGTGAGCTTGCCTTACTCAACGACGCCCCGCGAGCAGCTAGTATCGTTGCTGCGTCAACAGTCAAGGTTGGAAGCTTGGGAAAGAACGCTTTCCAGCGACTACTGGGACCTGTAGAAGGTATTCTACGAAGGACCAAGTATCAAGGTGTTGCAACTGGCGTTGAAGAGATGGATCCACTTCATACCAGCTAGGTTGAAAGGCAGAGCTCCAAGGTATGACTGCATCCATCATACCTATGGAGAAGCAGCAAAGTTTATCAATGAGATTGAGTGGTGTTCAGGTTGCCTCGTGTGTCGTTTGGGTGTATGTATATGGTACGCAGTTGGGGCATGTTGGATTCAGAAATGATTGGCAGAGGAATTCACTTGTGATTGGCGTTTTGAGAGGCTCTCTCCCACCTTCGCTTTCCTGAAACAAGCATGGCTAGTGATCAGATACCTTGGTTGATATCATTATTATCACGATGCAGCTCTCCACTCAATGATATGGAGGTATTCGCGACATTCAATGTGAATATCCACTAAGTGATGAGAGCAGATTACACAGATCGAGAAAGATGTATTGTCAATTGCCATTCCCCCATGAAACCAAACGTGAAACATGTTGATATCAAGACGCCAAATGTGAAGAGTTCCCCATACGTACACCTATTAGTTGTTAATCACCGTCTCCGCGTTGCATCTCGGTGTGTTATCCCTCCTGACACTATGTAGCCCGTCTTGCCAGCTCCTCTCGAATCTTTCTCCTCAACTCCTCGACAGCAACTTCAGTTTCCAGCACCCGACCAACACCAGCACGCCAAGTATCGTCTAATGTCTTGATCTCAGCGCCCACCGCGGCCTGTCTCTTTTGCCTCTCCAGATTCACTATGTCGACTTCGCGCTTGGTAACTGCCAACTCACGCTCAAGAGCCTGAAGCTCTGCTTCGAGTCCGTGGTTTCCCAACAACCACGCATTCTTCCCCCACTTCTCGAGAAGCTCTAGGTTTGTGAGGCGCGAGGAGAGATAGCTATGGGCGACAGCAGCAGCAGGCAGGGCAGTTGTGGGAGGAGCGCTCGGGGATGGGGCCTCGTATCGGCTCAAGTCCAGAGGCGCAAGTGGTGTGGATTTGGAAACGCGCTCGATTTCAGCTGTTATCGCGGCAGAGAAAGAAGGCTCTCTGTTGGAGGAGGGTTGGGGCGCTTGAGAGGACGCTTCAGCGGTGATCAGGGCGCGGGCGGCGGCAAGGGCTTCTGAAGTCGGTTCCTGGTCAACATCTGTAGAGAATATTAGTAAGAGAGGACCCAGGTAGTTATAAAGCGAACTATTTAAGCTTACATGGAAGAGACTCGTGATAAGCCGGAGCGATGGGCATGGTGATGATTTGTTCTGCGATTGCTACGCTTGAAGCTTAATTGGATACAATTTTGGTTTAATAATTTATCCAAACCGGTATTAAAGCTCTACTGATGTGTCGGGGTGGGAGTAGCGGGTTTATGAACCAAAGAGTATCGCAAAAGATGTCGCGAAATCGTGCAAACAATTCAATGTGTATGTGCCAGCGTGCAACCACGAAATTTCGGAGACACCTTAGTCGAAGCATGGTAACGCACGGATCATTTCTCAGCCTCCTCAGCCTTGGTGGCTTGACTAAAAGCACAGGCTTACATTGAAGCTTCAATTGAGGCGGTTAAGAAGAATCGGTACACATTAAAAGCTTATGATACTTCTACTCATGACTAGAGTGCATTAGACAAGTCAATGTAATTGTATATTTCTAAATGGAATTGGTTGATGAAACTGGAATATGTTATTGGCGAACCTCACTTTTCTCGATACTCTTGGGGGTTAGCTGCTTGACAGCGAAACCCCTGCAGTCTTAGCGGCACTGTAGCAGGCTTTCTGCATGGAGATGGAGTTGTGCTCCACCGAGGAACATGCCCGGCATTCTATTGTTGATAGCGATAAGGGAAACGACATCCATTTGATAGTAGGTACCTACGAGTGTTTCTGGCAATCTAACAGAATAGGCACATGCCTTCTAAGTATGTAGCGAATGTGTTTCATCCTTGTGTCTACTGATAATAGTGCTGGAAGCGACACCAGGTCCAAATATGCTTTGCAAGCACATCATTTTGACATAGTGACAACCGTATTGCTATTTGCTGCATTCTACCTCAAGCACCGTGTAGTAAGACTTTTGAAGTCGGGCTCAGAAACAAGTAATGACACAGCACAAGCTTGGGCATATAGGAGACACCATATATAATAGCTGTTCATTGCCCGAATCGCTGTGCGGCACCCGATAGATCGGCACTGATACCTAACGGCTTGTCTGTCATTTTGAGAGAGCGGGGCAAGAAAATAAGAGATGGATAGAACATTCATGAAGAGGATATCATATGAAATCAAGTTCGTCTTCACGTAACCTTATTCATGGAGCGTCTTTGTCTGATGTTCGTCAGCTGTGCCTAGCTGCATTGCCCGCTTTGATGGTAAAGCTAATTAAGATATTGATACAAGTGATACATCGTTCCGCTTAGAAGATAACTTCGCAGCAGGTCGTAAAAGCCATGATCTGCGTAGAGATCGATAAGTTATAAGAGCCTTTATCCCCCATCCATAATCGCTGCCATATCCTCCAAACTGTTTGATCCGTAGTTGTCGCCATAATGGCGTTGTTTTCCGGTTTCCATTCATTTCATCGCATCTCGTTTCGTAGTTGTAAATGAAAGATCAAACGCCCCTCGCAATTTCAGTACATGTCATCCACCTAATGTGCTGCTGTCATTATACAGAGTAACAAGCAGTAACTGCCGATCCCTTAGTGAAATGGAATATATCGATCAAGACGAAGATCGACCGCTCTCGGAAGAGTCGGTCTTGGTGAGGTCTTCATGGTCTTCCTCCTCGGGGCCATGGAGCGACTCCTCGAACACGGGCTCGGGCTCGTTGACCTCAAACTTTGTCTTGAAATCAGTAACATGAGAAAAGCTGCTACTGTTGGAGCGGCGGCGGGTATTGGTGAAGGTGAACTGCTCGCCAGCGATGTCATCGTTGACAGTTCCCCTGCAAGTAGTGTAAGTGCACTGTGGGGCAAGTGGACAGGGGTGAGTTCAGGTAACATACCAGTTGCCTCGACCAGAGCCGTCCTTCTTCACCTTCTTGGGGTCGACATCGGCAAAGCCGTTCTTACCAAAGAAGCGAGGGACAGTTTCCGTGGGGAGCATAGTCCCCTCGGCAATGCCCTTGTGGTCACGGTCGTTGGCCTTGTGAGATCGGGTCACTGTGAGAAGCGTTGTCAGTATAGTACTGGATGTTGGGTGAACGGCATCAAGCTGACTCGTGAGGGTGTATGAGAGCGGCGTGCGATATGGAGGAAAGGTTGAGAAATATTGTTGTTGTGATGATGAAACAGTACGGTAGATAGGATATTGATGATGGAAAGAGGGGCCAGGAGATGCAAAGATCCGAAGGGGAGCTTGATGGCCTTTTATAGGATTGGATGCCGCGCCAAACGTCACCAAAAAGCGATCGCCAGTGAACAAGAGCAAAGGATCCCTCCGGGTGAAGTGAGTCTAGGGAAGTGCGGGGTGTTGAAGTACTCCGTGTATAAAGGCAGGTATACGGAGGAAGGGGAAAACAAGTGGACAGGGTGGACGTGACGACTAAATTGTGAGGGAAACTTACTTTTTGCTGGATGGAAAGGGTGCAGTGTTAGCGCGAGGCGATTTGAGAGTGTGGTAATTGAGGATATGTATGGGATGCGTGAGACGATGTGTTGGTGCTTCAAGTTTGGTCAAGCCGGTGGTTTGCCCTTGAAGTGAGAGATTGTCAACGAGACACTTCTTGACGCAGGACTTGTATCGATAGAAAGACAATGTTATAGCGCCAATTCGTCGAATGATTGTCAGGAGGGGGCGGATAGTGGACAGTATTTAACTGGTTGGCAAGTCGATCTAGTAGATAGGTGTAAGAGAAAAGTTCGCGAATGGTTTGGAATGACGAAAAGTGAAGATGCAGAGAATTTGATGATCCAGGAGAGATATGAGGAACAAGTTGATTTATGTGCAAGACAATGTTCAAACCTGAGAAGGATAGAGCTTGCCTTTATATCCTGAGAGTCACGCGAGGAACGATGCGTGATGGCATCACACTGTGTCCAATCAGATCATTGTAGGCGGATGTTTCCTTCCCACCTACTGCCTAGTTACAATCCAGCCTTTTCCTTTTAGAATAGCTATCTCTGCTAACGACGCTGACGAAGCTCCCCCAACAGACGGGAGCCTCTCCATTGGACAATTGCGAATTACGGGAGGGAAAGGCGGAAGGAGTCAGCTCATAGATGTTCCACCATGATGGCTTCCCAAGGCAAGTGCGACAGCGTCCAGGGTGGAGCTAGGTTAGCAGGTGGTACCTACCCCGGTCAAAGCGGGTCTCGCATGTCCCATCCTGTCCGTCTATCGCGTGACCTGGCGCAACCAGCCGGTGACCGAACTCTGTGGTCCAATTCAACTTATTGAGTCAACGATCTGGTTACATGCTTCAGAGTGAGCACGTTACGATTGCGGGGAAGCATATTTGTGACATTCCAGTAAGGAGTTCGCTGGGAATTCGTAGGTTAGATCAGGAGGCAATTCAAATGCAAAAGTGACCACAATTCATGATGCCGATTGTGTAAGGGAACCTCATGTCATCTACCACGATCAATGGGCTCGATTGGTTCCCAGATTCCATCCAATGTCATGCAAATTGATCCAGATTCTAAGCTCTGAGGGGATAGAGGGGTATACTAAGTTACAGTACAACCATGTGCCCAGTGTTTAATCTTCTCCATACCTCAGTAGATTACTCCCACTCCCACCAAGTTTACATCGTTTGCCAGAAGGTACGGCCTTTCAGCGTTCTTGGGAGCGGACTGATTGGCGTTAAACACTCCAGGGTCATACAATTGAAAATTGGCAGTTTCTATAATAATATCATGGTATTTGCTCAACAATTAATCGCAAGGTGACTGATTGGTCTCATGCTGAACATACATACCTACTGGGCATCCCATATAGCAACGGTAGCAAAACAAGCACTGACGTCGACATGCTTGTACCCCAGGGTCTTAGTCTGTGGTTTGGCTGGAGCTGTTTTGGGCGGATAAACGACACGAATACCCCGCTTTAAGCTCACGGGGAAATGGGGTAACGTCCAGGTACCGGCATTGCGGCATAACCTCAGTACGTGCTAGGTTGCTAGGCATGTTTGATGTTGTGGATAGCGATATGACTTTGATACAGAAAACTTGACTGTTGTCATCAGATAGTTACACCAAGTATCTTATTTTATACAGTATATAACTGGACACCAATTCGTTTACACTTCTAAGCTCGTTCATAGACAATCTCTAAAAGTACTTGAGATTTTATATCTGCCAGCCTCAACCACTCAAAGACAGAAAGGCTCCACGCCTCCAGACTAAACTACAAGGTGGGTTGGAACTCTAGAATGTGGAAAAGGAGGCAATTGCCAAGTTCTACTCCGCCATTCGCTGCTCAATTCTGGCTTCAAAGCAAATCCGATACCGCTCCCCGACTCAATCGTTCGTGGGGCTCAGCAAAACTGACTCGGCGCCCACATACGGTGCACATGACTCTTCTCATTGACCCATCTTGTACGTCACTGCGATCTCACCAATTATAAGCATCATTTCACGTACGAGCCTCAATCTTAGTTGTCTAGGTCTTGTTCTCAGGAGTCTCGAGAGGATCTGACCTTGAATTGGTAGATAGATATATTCGCGTTTGCCACTGATCACTTCGCTTTTCGTCTGTCCCAACAGAAAACCCAACCCGCCCCGTTCTTGAAACACCGATAAGGAACCAGTCGGAGGTCTCATGATCATCGCCCGAACTCTATTGTAGGGTCAAGGTCGCGAGTGGTCTCCATTGCCTGTTCCTCTGCAAATGACAAGTGCCTTTCACTCCCAGTGATCATGGAACACCATGCCACAAAGCACGAATTCTGTCGGTATCTTGGGGTCGACGAAAGTCCACCGCTATGAGTAGACTACGCACAACTGTCTGTCTATATTGGAAATTATATGGCAATCATCAGAGTCAAAATCCAGCTTACATCGCCAAATAGTCTAATGTGGCATGAAAAGAGCATAGGCCCAGATTGGTCGTTCGCGACGAAATATCGAAAAGCGAGGCGTTTCCTCTGCATTGCCGTAATCACAATGTTGCTGCAAACCTTCGACGGCCTTCATGCCAATACTTACTCCTATTAGTAGGCCATGGTAGAATGTGATAAATGTCTCGTTTCAACTCATGCAGTCAAGAACGAAGAACAGCCGATCACGAATCCACGTCAAATTAGTTGATTTAATTGCTGTTCATTTTTTTTCTCTTTCTCCTTGTCGTTGTAATGGGACTTCTAATACACCTCCCTTGCTCTTTTGAGAATGAAAAAACTTCATCAACCTGCGCCTGAATAATACAATTGCAGCTTCATCCCCTGCCAAAGAAAATACACATTCTGCGTAATAAAGATATGCTGGTCTTCCTCTAAATCCACCCACCCACCCCCACTACCGTAATTATGATGAATTTCCAACTTTCTAGCGATGGCCCATTTTCGAGAATTCATTCTGATAACGTAGCTTGAACCCGTTACAGAGCGCTCGCATGTCAGGATATTGATAGCCCTTAAGCTCAAAGCCTTGCGGGATTGCGCGCACTGGCAGCGCAATTACCTTGGCTGCCCTGCTAGCCTTGAAGCATAGCCAGAAGTATCCAGGGTGTTTGGTGTCGATGCAGAAAGCGTACGTCGATCGGTTGGGATTGGCATCGATGTAAGTCGTTAGCCATTTTTCTACGAATACAGTTAGTATCATACGTTATGGGTAATTCAGTATGGTATAGGGACTTACCTGTCTCTCCCCGAGATCGGTTCTGGTACTTATCATGCCGCATCAACTCCTCTACCTTGCGTGCCATAGCCTTGACGTGTTCGACGATCAGTTCGTCCAGGTCGGTGTATGTGTACTTGCCGCCTACGCGCAACAGCTTGCCCACTGCGAACTCCGTTTCTTTCTGCATCTCGAGAACATCAATGTGCTGAAACACACCATCCGCGACCTTCCAAGTAACTGCCAGATGATCGTTACCCTTGGACGAAGGTCGAATTATAACCTCGCCATTGGGCTGAGATCCCAGATATTCTTCGGCCTGCAAGCCATTGAAAGGCTTGAAATTAGGATGCTTGACAACACGCTGTGTCCGTCCGGTTGTCTTGTCCTTTTCTCGCAACTCCTCCTTGTCAGCGGCTTCCAGGACATAGTCCCATCCATCCCGGCCAAGGTTAATAGGTCGCTTGTAGGGAACACGCAGAGCATCGTCCCGCATGGAAAGCTTCGCCATAAAGTCTTTGTAGTTGATGTCTAGGATCTTGGCTTGGGCTGTTTGTCCAGAGCTCAGCACTTCTTTGATAGATGATCGGTGGCTGACTTCATGGCCCTCGACCCGGCCCTCGATCCCGCAGTCAAGTTTGACGATGGCAAAGTCATCCTTGACAACCCGCACGTTGACGGGGACAATCATACCCTCGCAAAGGGTGTGCTTGGTTTCGCCAGTGAACATGGTGAAGATTTCTGATGGTGACAGGAGAGCAAAGTTCCTTCGAAGTTCTTCGTAGGGGGCTTGGAGTTCGGCGCGGATCGTTTCCAAAGTGGCTCGCTTGCGCTGGCTGTAGTTCCTCTCCAACTGTTCTGCATACTCCTCGAGTACCAGTTCGTTGACCTTGTCCTGCTCGTCCTGTTTGAAAAGCTTGCGGACAATGGCTCCAGGTCCGTTCTCGTCCGTTTCAGCCTTGACATCTTCCTCATCGAGCTCAAGAGCATCGGCGGCCATCTTTCGGCCCAGCTCATAGTCCTCAGGGTGAACACGTGTGTTATCTAGTGGATCAGACGATGGGTTTGTAGCCTCGTACTCAATGAAAAGAAAGCTCGCGCAGTTGTTCCAAACTCTAGGACCAACAACGGGCAGCTTTCCGCTATCAGGGTCACCCACGAGCTCGTCTCTTGTGCCCACAGCACCACCGTTGGCATTGATAGCTTTGATAACACTTGTGGCCTTTCGGGGTCCCAGTCCGGAAACAAAAGGCAGAAGATTGGCAGTGTAAGTATCGTTCATGGCCTCGTTGATGTCCACACCACAGAGGTTCACCATGTCCACCATAGCCGAATCCAGGTACTTGGCCAGCTTGTCTCCTGGAAGGAGGTTCTGGCAAGGGTGGTAAGAAAGAGAAGCAACATCCTTGCCAAGAGCTGCATATTCCTTCATGGGGTTCTGCATGTAACGTGCCAGGGCGACGCAGTACCTTGTGATAGGGTTGAGACTTGGATGCTCAGCAAGGGCGCGAGGGCTATCCTTGTACAAGCGAGCAACCTCATCATTCACCACCACGACCTCCAGGGGTTCCGTTCTATAGTCACTGGTATCAGGGTCCTCGAACTCAGGCCCCATGAGACCCTTCTCGTTTACCAAGTTCTCCAGGTCACGCACCAACTTGGTTGTTTCAGCAGACCAGCCACTGACACCAATCACATCGGGTCGACGGCGCTTCACGAGTTCTTCAAACTCTTCGCGCTGGCGCTCATCTCGAGCAAGGTTTCCCAGTTTTCCTTGCTCGATCACTCGTCCATCTTCCTCTACCCATGCCCAGCAAATGGGATCGCGGGCGGGATCGGACATGCCATTGGAGAGAACCAAGACACGTGGTGTGGTGCCCAGGATCATGCCCTTGGGCTTGTATGGCGCTTGATCAAGTCTCTTGGCGTATTCCTCCCGGCACATTTTGAGTACTTCATCTTGGCAGAAAGTACGGATGACCTCTTTAACGTTCTTTGCGATGATCTTCTCCAGCTTGGGATAAGCAAGGTCCAGCACCTTCTTGCGTTCCTCTCGCCACTGCTCAGCTCGGTCACTGAAGTTCTCGGACTCGAACTCCTGGTAAAGGTGTTGTCGGAAATCATATCGAGCAGGCATATCGAGCTTGATAGTGACAAGTCCTTCTTCTTCAGCCTTCATCATCTTCAAGAAAAGCTCCGGCTGATGAACCAAGTCGGCAATAGCTTGGTTCTGCAAGTACTTAATCTCATAATATGGGTGAGAGTCATCGATTCTACGCAATCCCTTTTCAGTTCGCCGACAGCTGATCTCAGCGGCCTGGTAGTATGAGTTTCGGAAATGTTTGCGCATTCTCGGACTAGCGAACAACTCCTCCGAGTACATCTGCCGGGCTGCGCTGATAACTTGGTCGCCTGTGCTGAAAACGTCATCAATCAAGCTATCCGCCAAATCCATAGGATACTGTGCATCATCATCGGGAGTGACCTTCTTTCCATGTCGCAGGGCATTCTTTGCAAGTTGGTCAGCTGAGATGCCGTAGGCACGAACAAAGCCATACGCCTTGCCTTGGCGGACTCTCTCGAGTAAGTTGGATTTTGAACCCGGCCGCTTTGTCAAGGAGAGATTACCGGCCATGGCAGCAAGGTCCTTCAATTGTGGGCCATATTGGAAATGCAGGTAATCTTGCAGGTCTTGAAGTTCCTCCATAGTCGTCGCATCAGGAATCATTTCGTCCACCATAGTGTCGTGAATTTCCATTCCTTTCAGGTTATCGACCGTCTTCTCAAGGGCGTTCCTCTTATCCACGAAAGATCGGAACTTGATGTCCAGTTCTAGGATTTTCCACAAATCGTCCTGGTTCAGCAACTTGTCCGCGCTAATAACATATTCGGGCGCATCGGGGTCATCGCGATTCGGGTTTCGGGTCTTTCTGGTATGGAGCAGGTAGTCTTTGCGGTGCTGGAACACGTAAGGCACCTCAACCTCGTCGACAATGAAGAATTCAAGGACCTTGCCGACTGCCTTGCCAAATGGACTCTGCAGGTCGGAGGCCAGACCCTTCTTCGGCCATAGTTGGTTGGTGATCCAGCGTGCCTCCTCTTTGAACTGCTCTGCCGTAAGTTGTAAGCTCTTGAAGGTCTTTCGGTCGATTTGGAATCGCTCGGGCTCGTCCGTAAAACGAATCTCGTTATCTTCGTCGGTCAAGAGCTTCTCCTTCAGCTGTGAAGGCTCGAACACGTCCTTCAACTCTATCGCCTGTTCTTCTCTTTCACGGTCCTCCTCCTCCTCTTCCATCTGCAGTGCCCAATCGTAGTCTTCACCATTACCAAAGATGGCCTCCATGTCATCCAAGGCATCCTTGTCCAAATTGGCGGTGTCGGCGATATTTCCGATGACACGATCTCTGGGACGGGCAACCTCGGCGTCTTCTCGCTGTTGTTCCAATTCTTCAGGGTCATCGGGGAAGTCCTCTTCAATAAAATCGTCAAACTCGTCGGCCTGGCGGTACGATGATCTGTTGTTGTATGCCCGCTGTTCGCCCGCGTCATCTTCTTCATCGGAAAAGATGTCATCAAGGCCACGGCGCTGGTTACCTCGGTCTTCGTCACGAGTGCCGCGCTTCAGGCGCTTAAACTTAGACTGAATCCGCGGAAGTTAGGGATACTGACGGGCTAGGCGAATCGATTGACGTCGGGGCGACTTACCTGTGTTTGGGGCTTAGGCCGCTCGCCAAACTGTTCGCCGATCAAATCCAAATCGTCCTCATCTAATTGTGCCTCTTCTTCGCGATCGCGGTGCTCTCGTTTTCGCTTGTGTAAGGGTCGCACGTCGGCATCGGAATCGCCGCCTTCGTCCTCGTCTTCATCTTCGTCAACGATAAAACCTTCGCGAACCTAGAACGAAAAAAATAATCAGGGGTTATTCAATTGCGAGTGTTTTCCAAGCTAACCTTGCGAGCTTCCTCCTCATCGTCATCGTCTTCCTCCTCCTCACTAGAGTCTTCTACAGCGTTTTTGCGTCTGCGCTGTCCACCACGCTCATCAAAAGACTCATCCTCTTCCTCGTCGTCGAGTTCGGCCTCGCCTGAGATCAAGTCGCGCATGCTGTTGCTCATCTTGGCGACTTGCGATGCTGCCGCGCAGGCAACAAAGCTTTATTTATCTGCTTTAGTTGTATATGGTTCCGATGTGGCAACCGGAGATAGAGAATAGAAATCTTGGCTCTCAGATGTCGTGATTGTAGTGAAAGACAATGAAGTAGAGAGATCAGAAGTGCACGCCTTTCTTTGGAAGCTTAGATCTTTGGGAATTTTTGCCTTTGCGCTGTAGAGCGAGCTACACGTGCAGCCTTGTCGCGCCTGGCAAGGATACAAAGCGGAGCAAGATATTCCGCTTCCGACCTCGCGTGCAAGTTACATAATCACGATTCGTGAGCTTCACTTTTTGACAAAACTTCATTGACGTACCTACAGTAATCATATCATTTTTCTTCAGTACTAGTCATGGATGGTTCTGCAAATGTAGAAGCTAGGTAACCTTTCGAAGCAGCACACTGCTCGTATCATTCGTACCGTTGATCGACGAAAACTCGCGCTCTTAATCAGCAAGTACAACTGTCAACCTGGATGGTGGTCCAAGTGTTAACTTACAGTCGTCTGAATCGCCCAGCGTCTGATCCCTCGTCCATTGTCATGCTGTTTGTACCTTTTGACCCATACGGCTGTGCCCCCTATCCCAATCAAATCTTTGCGGTGCCTCGCGCATTTCATACGAAGCAATCATTGTGATGGCGACAATTGGTGGGAAGTTAATTGACAGACTAACAGGTAGGGTAGAGCCGAGTACTGGTTTTGGCATGTCGCATCAAGCAATATGTTTGGACTAATGAATTATTACCCCTACCACTTCATTATCTTATCACTGCTCTGAATCGGTTGATGTACGAATCCCGAAGCATGAATCGTCTCAAATGTATAGCATATGGCCAGTCAGCCAGCCATGGCATTGTCCCCGGGCTTGGACCTCTTGGGAGGTTACGGTACAGTGTGTAGATAGACCAGAGGTAGGTATAATATTATACTTGGGCGGTCATGGATGAGAATGTTTGCCTCCATGTTACCAAAGCATCTACTATACTCCATGGCCTCCCTGGGCTCCCCTTATGGCGAATAAGTGGCCCACTGGATTTCAGGTACGGACGGATACATAATTTCAGATTCTGCTGGGCGGGTAGGCTCTTCAGGGCTATAAAAGAGGTTTCAGTTCTATCGCAAATATCCCCCTCTACCCCCTTTTCCTCTCCTGGTTTGCCGCTCAGTGTCATCGTCCTTTTGTTTTTTGTTTGGGCCTGCAACTCCCCCATAGCGCAAGTCCAGCCACTCTCGTCACGTTGTCGCCGACTAGACCCCGCCCTCCATCCACTGTACACTGTCCACGCCTAACCAGCCAAAAGTCGTCAAAGAGACAAGGACAAATCCCCCACTCATCATCTTCGGCAGCGCTCAGACTTAGTACTCCTGACAAATTCGCGACCTGATTACATCTGGTTGAGAAGGAGTATTTCGGGCTCTCCTCTCTCCATTTCATCGATCGCCTCAAAGACCCTCATTTCTTGGCAACGGAATCTAGGCTTCCCACTACGGCCCGAGAACAACGTACGCCCGGCTTCTAGCCCCATCTCAACTCCAGACAGGATAAGATAGCGATCGACTCCTTTTCGATCCGCTCGATCACGACGATAGCTTTGTGCCGCAGTTGTATTCCAACTCAACACTTGGGACCTTTCTTCCGTCCTCGATTATTGCCCACGAAGAAGATCGAGCAGCGCCTAACTCGCCTAAGCCTGATCAAACCTTACGGCTTCATCACCTCACCTCCGGCCTCGCTCCAACAGTACCGTCTGTTCATTCAACAAGCTCTGTTGCTTATTCTCTCCGGCCCTCTCAAAATATGTCCGATCCTTTCGCTCCGCGCTCTATGAAGCGCAAGAACGTCAAAGGTCTTGCCCTCAAAGCAGCTGCTCCTCGACCTCCGCCAACCGCCGAGACCAGTAATCATGAATACAGTGGAAGTCAAGACGCTGGCAGGGACGAGCAGCTAGAAATTGGTATTGAATACAAGCTAGATCTGCGACCCGAGGATCTTGAAATCCTCAAGGAATTAGGATCCGGTAATGGTGGAACTGTCAGCAAAGTCAAGCATCTTACAACTGGGACTGTCATGGCTCGCAAGGTGTGTTTCTTGTTTCGGAAATGAACCTTTTACTAACCAGTCACCTAGGTAATTCATGTGGAAGCTAAGCGAGAGATACGGAAGCGAATCGTTCGGGAGCTTCAAATCATGCACGGGTGCCATTCAGACTACATCGTGACATTCTACGGCGCCTTCCTAACCCCCAACAACGATGTGATTATGTGTATGGAGTATATGGATGTTGGGTGAGTAAAACTAGACAATGGCGGGGCCAATATGGTGGCTAATCATTTGTTAGGGCTCTCGACCGAGTCTCTAGGGTCTTCGGTCCCGTTCGAGTTGATGTCTTGGGCAAGATTGCTGAAGCTACTTTGGGCGGCTTGACATATCTCTATACAAAGCATCACATCATGCATCGTGATATCAAGCCCTCCAACATCCTGGTAAACTCAAGGGGTGGGATTAAGCTTTGTGACTTTGGTGTCTCGGGCGAGCTTGTCAATTCCATTGCTGACACTTTCGTCGGAACTTCGACCTACATGGCCCCTGAAAGAATCCAAGGTGAGAAGTACACGGTTAAGTCAGACGTCTGGAGTTTTGGTCTCAGCATCATGGAGCTTGCTATTGGCAAGTTTCCTTTTGCAGCTAGCGAGCAGGTATCGGATGGCGACTTTGCCCCCGCGGGTATCCTAGACTTGTTGCAGCAGATCGTTCACGAACCAGCCCCGAAGCTTCCTAAGAGCGATGCTTTCCCTAGTATCCTCGACGACATGATCCAGAAGTGTCTCTACAAGGAGCCCGAGCGTCGTCCAACTCCTCAAGAGCTCTTTGTGAGAAATACCTTTTGCCCCATCCCTTGTGCTATATGCTAATTTTTTCAGGACCGCGATCACTTCGTACAGGCCGCCAAGCGCACACCAGTCGATCTCAGAGAATGGGCTGTTGGCATGATGGAACGCGACAACCGGAAATCGCATTTAGCACCCCAGCTATCTCCTTCAACGCAGGACCTCCTTCGATCAAGTGATTCTCCTACCCAATCTCAGCAGGCTCAAGCTCAGGCACAGGCCCAAGCCCAGCCCGAAGAGCGTTCTCACACTCCCACTTCGGGCGAGATTCCCATTGGTGGTGCCGGTATCACCTCCCCTCGCGATCAATACGGCTCGAACCAGAGCCGATCGCCACCTCGAAACGGACATGCATCTTCCCGAACACCGGCTTCCGCACATCCTGGGCTGGGATCTAGGGTTGTTACCACAAATTCTATCCCTAAGGTTTCGGGTTACCCCGATAACGTCGGCCCAGTGAGTGCAAACGCTGCAACTTTCAGTCTGCCCGTCCGGCCGGCACCCCCAGGCGGCCCTTTGCCGCCACCTCCACCCCGAAAAGAAACTCCTGATGAGTTGCGAAGGGAGAATAGGAGACAAGCTACTTTTGGGCTGCCACCCAACCCCAGCTACGGCATACAGTGAACAGCCTGTATTAGAGTCATTCCCAGAAGCTTCATCGCCCCGCAGTTGCCTTTCTGAACATATTGGAACAGTAACCCAACCTTGAAAGTCATTTAGCATACCTCGGCGCACTGTTTTGAAATCTTTGTCGTGGTCTCTGGCCAGATCACTATACTTGAATCGTTACATATTCCGCCTGAAGCCTAGGTCATTGTCTATTTCATCTGTTGAGAAGACTAGCTTCGTTGATCTCGATTCTAGAGGGTCTGTCCAATGTCTAGCTCTGAGGAATGGTTATGTACAGAGGCAGAAACTGGGCTCATGTAGGAAACCCAAATAAAATGAAACCGTATTTGAGTAATTATTATGGGAGTTGCTTTGCCAGCCTTGCTTGCTAAGAGGCTACTAAAATACAACGCCAACCCTTCAAAAACTTGTGGGTGGCCCATTCTCATGGCACTTCACTCTGGGCTGATTTCTCTGCCCACGAAACCATCGTCGAGAACGGCAACAAGCTCATCCAGCGTGTTGATGACCAAGTCAGTATGCGCATGCTCCGCCAAAGGTCGGTTCACGTCGTTTACGAGCAGTACTGTAGCCGCGCCCGCCTTCCTGCCCGCTGTCATATCGTCGATAGAGTCGCCCACCATGATAAGTCCACTGGCATCTCCCTCGCCAGCCTTATTTGTCAAGCCCCAGTCCTTGGCAATATGCAAAATGCCGGCAGGATCGGGTTTGGGTGGTCGGAAATCTCGTGTGACAATTGGATGAAAACGAGAGCCCTCAAGAAACTTGTCCATCAGATTTTGGACAGGAACGTCAAAGTTGCGAGTGCAGATTGCTTTGGGGATGGCGTTGGTGTCGAGATACGCCATAAGGGTCATGAGGCCTGGCTGAGGAGTTTGAGTCTTCATGGCTTTTCGTTCAATGTTGCGGATAGATTCCAGGGCTTCTGACTGCTCCGATGTTGGGAGTGTTTCGATGTGTTCCAAAATGTCCGTTGTTTTGTTGATCCCCAATATGTCTCTCATTTCCTTGAACATGTAAGTTTGAGGCTCACTGCAAGAGGATTAGCAATGAGTTCGGCGTCCTTAATGGAATCATTCGTACTCTAATAGCACAAGTCTCCTTTGTCCTCGTGAAGCCTTGGCATCAGATTGGATGATTCAGAGTACTTCTTCTTCTGTGTAGGGTAGGTTGGGGAGGGCAAATCCTACCAGAGTGTGCCATCCATATCAAAGACCACACCTCGAAGGCTGGGAGTGCTGGCTGGGAGATTATGGTTTCTCTTCTTTAACGGTATGAAACGTTTCGGGGATGACGATGTCATGATGGAAACGACACGGCGCAACATAGGGTTGAGCCGGGGGAGGGGAGTTTAGGAAGATGCAACAAAACAATGAATATATAGCTTGAATTCGATATTTTCTCTCTGAAACCACTAAAAACCTCGGTTGAGTATAAGAAGCCTTTCAACTTTGATTTCTTCAAACATCAAATGGGCAGCAGTTGACAAGGACGATGAGTGCTGTGATTCAGAGATGACGCTCTCACTTGAGAGGTGGAGACAAGCAGAATCGGGAGTAGGATTTAGCCAGCCATGATCTAACGTTGGTTGCGTTGTGCTACCCTACATACTATTTAGATAGTGTAAACAATCAGGTTCCATGATCGACCTGTATCGGCACTGTCATTCCAGACTCCGGCCACTCATATCCTATCCCTAACCTGAAGTATTCAATGGGACAATTTATTATCTAGGTAACTTCTCAACCACGGCCATCATCTCGTACTCGTTTAGCCCCGCGTCTGCTCCTTGCCTTTTCTCAGTGACTGCAAACTGCCCATTCTCATGCCCTGCATCAAAGCAAGACTCGAACACCTCCCAGTCAGCCATTGGCCCCAACCAAACGATAACCTGCACGTTCAGCCCTCTTCGCGCGATGGCTTTCGTGTATTCAAGAATTAGGGCTGGTTGACGTGGATAAACAAACAAGAGAGATGTAACGTCTGGATCTTGTAACCTCGAGACAACGTCCCAGCTACCACGAACCGTATAAATGGCTTGTTCTGGAAGATATTTGTTGACAGCGTCTTTCCCATTCTGTTGCTGAACTTCAACCCCCTCCACGTTGAAAGAAGGATAGTTGTAGTGGGCGCTATCTTGTTGATTGAGCAGAAAAGCTTCGAGCAAGCCAGAGCCGCTTCCGATGGAGAGGACGGTTGGATGGTCTTCTGAGACTGTAGTTTTGGAAAAAATATCTGATAAGAGCTGAAGTAATTTTGTTGATATAGCGAGACAACAATCCGGAAATCGGATCGGTGCTGCCTTTGCATTGAGCTGAGGAAGATCCATTATCCAGAGATTTGACGTAAGAACATTTTCTTTTTTTAGACAAATAGAGCTTATCTCCAAGACGATAGTCTACAATTTCCTGTGTTCCAACTGTGGATATTGAGGTTGTCTAGTGGATAGCAGAAGAATTGACCTTGAAGCTTTAGACGATAAAAATAAATAGCCTAAGAAGCATAGTCTAAATAGCATAAGGTGGTCTCGTAATTTAGTCTCTTATGCTCCTGGCGGCCAACTTTTCTGGTACCCTGATGGTTGTTAAATGCGGGCTTGCTACCAGGAGATCTAGCGCTAGTGGCAGTCATGTAAGTTTAATTGAGTTGGTACAAAGCTTTCCTACTTACCTATATACCCAGTACTTGACAAAGCTAAATCTTTAAGAAATATCGTCGCACAGATGATTTGGGGAAGAACAAAATGAAGACCATGAATCTCGTCCAAGTCGACTACAAGGAAGTTGAAAAAGACTGTCGGAATGTACGCCCCATCAAACTCAATACCTGCTTTCACTCAATCGATGAAATTCCAGCCCACTGGAGAGGCCGACATCGTTCACGCCCTTCAGAGGTTTCTTATTTGTACGAGAGATGGCTATCGCTGATATCGAGAACACGCAATCTTGATCAAAGAGAAGTACAGGCCATCAAACTAACATTAACACAAGCTAAGCTCCTCATCGTAGCCTCTGGTAGGTCCATCATCACAGGTGTACCAAATCGAGCATACCAAGAAGACATCGAGGATGAGATACTGCCACAGTTATCAGCTCTCCAATTCCCACTCTAGGGGTTGTTCATGCGGTTGGATGGATGCTCGCCCAAGGATGGCCGTCAAACTATACTGGGAAGATTGTCGCTGCACTCATCAAACGATATCATTATTCGATTGACTACGTCACAACGAGTACCCAGCGAAATGATAAAAAGTCTCGAGGAAGGAATGCCTACTGTTAAACTTTTCTTTCTTCCCTTTATTGATCGTATGAGGAGCAAAAGAGAATACCGAGTGTACTGTGCACCAGTGACAGGGACCATTACAGCAGTTAGTCAATATTGCTGGCATCAACCTTGGCTTTTCGCGACTCAAGACCCGGAGAACAGCCGCAAGGTGGCATCAAACATCTGGAACAGCATCCAGAAGATTCACCAAGATATCATGGAAGACCTAGATCTAGCAAATCGGATGGATCAGCTCCTGTTGGAACAAGGATATTCTTTGGACGTGTTCTACGATGAGAGAGAAGAGAGCTCGAGCCTTGTCGAACTGAATGTGTTCGGAACAAGGAGCGGATGCGGATCTTGCCTGTTTCACTGGATCGATGATCTGAATAAACTGTATGGTGAAGGGGAGCATGTTGAGTTTCGGATCACGAGATGAAGATGACGGAGAGGATATACAACGATACAGTTGATTCTCCCAACGTAGGTATATAACTTACCTACAAAGATACTTGGTCGTATGATACCTAGGTACCTAGGTAGGATATACCTCTTAAGCTTCTGTTCCTGTTGATCTTGTGACTAGCCACGGGCTAGTGGGACTGACTGAGAGTATCTGGTGTGAATTCTACCTAAGTTGGTACCACAATGACTGAGATGAAAAGGCTGAGATTGTAAATCAAGGATGAGGCTGGGATACATTTGAGATTAAGCCGTAAAATCTTAGAAATCTGTAGGATTACCTTCAAAGTCAAGACACCTCGTTTCGAGGTACGTTTTCTACCTAGGTATCCTTGATACCAAGACAAATTATGACATATTGGGCTCCTCTGTACTATTGTTCTAATTAGTACAGTAGTAGGTGCGGGCGCAACTGTCAAGGTATATATGGATGGGGTTCACTAATAGATAGAACTTGCCTTAAACCTTGTAAAGAGCTCTCTAGCCAATAGTAGATTGTATTGATGCTATAGGCAGCAAAGAGGACCCACTCTAGCTGGGGTGCATGCTCAGTGTCATCCTGATCCTTGTAATAAATTGTTTCTGTCTAGTATTTGGTCGCTCAATCCATTCATCCATCCATCAATCTCTCTCTGTGACAATCGTCAGCCCGCCCTTTCCCCAACTGCCACTGTTTAACAAGGAGGCTTCCATAAAATCATATCAAAGACCTGCCGCCATCGTCTCTCGCTATGAAGCCCTAAGATACAGGAGAATGAAGCGCGCCGGATTATCACAGCACGATTCTCAAGACGAGCACAGTACCATTCGGCAAAGTAGCCATGAGCGCCGCTACAAGCTCTTCCAATTCGGCATGGCCACCTAAGAAACGCCATTTTCAGCGGACGGTATGCATCCCGCGCGTACAAAACTCATGGTGATGCCCGAAGTTAAAGATCTGATGTGTTGGGCAGAAACTGAGAAACGGAACCTTTATTATCCCCAGCACTGGCGAACGATCGAGACAAGAGTTCTCCCTACGCACCTCTACCAATTCTGTCTCCACCAACAACAACGACAATAACCCGAAGTTCCACTCTCTCAACGACGCCGAGTCGATTAGAGACCGCCTACAAATCATTACACAAAACGTCAAAATCGCTTTCGTCTTAGTATGGCTATGGCTGCACACCGACGAGGGACATGGTGTTCTCAAGTGCGTCGTTGCCTATGTGCTCGGTAGTCTGGGCACCTTTTTTCCGCCTTTGACAGCCTTTCTTGGCAACAGAGATGGAAAACATGTATCGGCAACTATTACTGTTTATTTCCACCCAGCACGAACCGTCGGATCCATGCTTGAGGCATCCGTGATAGCGTTCGTTGCTGTGCTTTATGCTGAGACGATATCGGTACTCTCAATGGGAATCGCCATTGCTATGCGATCTCAGTTTGGGCCGACTGGTGCTGCTCATGCTCTCATTCTCATTGTTTGCATTGGCGGAGGCCTGGGTTTCGTGGGCTGGGTCAAGCAGAGGCTTAATAGCCCTCTCGTCAACGTTGGCTCTACATTGGCTTCTATTGCAATTATTTCCGTAATTACAAAAGAGGAGAGCGTCCAAGGAGGATATTTTGACGATGACAAGATTGTTCAGGTTTTGAAACTGCTTCTTGTTGGCATTACTTGCACTTTCGCTGCCAATCTACTGCTATGGAGAGTCTCAGCAAGACAAGTCCTTCGAAGGTCCATAATGACCGCCAACAGCTCTCTGGGCGACAAGCTATCGTCTATCACAAAAGGTTTCCTCAGTGGTACTGAAGATGAGCTATGGACAAATGAGTACAGCCGTGTCTCTGCCCGGTACAATGCTGCATACGCAACCATGAACTCAACCCTCCGTGAGGCTAAATTTGAGTACTACTTTCTTGGCCGAGAATCATTCTACCCTCTAGACAAGCGTCTGTCAAGGTCAGTTGAAGGACTCTCGCAGGCTCTGGGAGGATTGCGCAGCGCTCTGGAAACCCAATTCACTCTTCTCAGAGAGGTTCCCAGTTTTGAAGATTCTTTCCCTTCGCCTAGGAGCACCGGACTTACACCGCCTCTTGCCAGGACTATCAGTGCCTACCTAGAGTGTGGGGGTCAAAGGCTGTCTGACATTGACGAGTCGGGTGAAAGTGAGGAAGAGCGGCAGGCCACGAGGAACAAGTCCGATTCTGCGTTGATGGCAGCTCCCGCCTTCCAAGAGCCTTCGGACATATTTGCCCTCTTCATTGACATGCTTGGTCCATCAATCAAGTCACTGGCTCATACTCTCTCCGAGATTCTACGTGAGCCTGCCTTTGGCAAAGACCCAAACAAAGATGTCACTGTTAATGAACAACTGAGAGAAAGTCTTCGCGACGCCCTCAATCTCTACAACAATGCCAGATCAGGATCTTTGGAAGAACTTTATCGTACTATCGAATTTGGGCGAACTCGTTCCGAAAAAATTCAAGCTGACATTGAAGAAGTTGCTGCCGCCTGTGGGCACTTTTCTTTCAGCTTGCAGGCTGTTGCTGAGGAAACTGATGCATATTTGGACGTGCTGGAAGATGTTAAATATACTACCGAGACTGCATCGAGGTCTTGGAGCTGGCTCAAATTTTGGAGGCGCTTTAACTTGACTAAATTGCCTGATAAAAACATGACCGGGGATCCGGAACGCGAGGCCTTGATACAGAAACCGCCTGTTCCCAGACTTCGAAAATCGCAAATACCCAAGGGTATCCCAGACACGATGGTAGCACGACGAGATACCTTCAACTGGGATGCTGCGCCTCAGGCCAGTAAACTCAAGAGGAGATTCGCACAGAAAATGCTCCAGATATCCCGGTTTGTCGTCCGGGAAGATATACTTTTTGGCATCAAAGTTGGTATCGGTGCCCTTCTTTGGGCGATGCTAGCGTTCATACCAGGGACAAGGCCTATTTACCAGAAATGGAGAGGTGAATGGGGTCTTCTCTCCTTCATGATCGTTGCTGCGATGACAACAGGATCGGCCAACACTACCGGTACAGCCAGATTCAAAGGTACCATTATTGGTGCAACCTTTGCTGTAATTTGTTGGACAGTCAGCCAGGGCAACGCCATTGCTCTCGTGTGTTTGGGCGGCCTTGTGGCTTTGTTCAATTTCTACGTGATTTTGGTCATCAAAAAGGCACCCCTGGGTAGAATTGCCCTTCTAGCATACAACGTGAGCACATTGTATGCCTACAGTCTCTCACAGGATGTCGATGACGATGACGATGACGAGGGAGGTGCTAACCCCCTCATCTTCGACATTGTGTGGCATCGAGTCATTGCTGTGACCTTGGGTATCATATGGGGCATTGTCGTTTGCCGACTACTCTGGCCTATTTCTGGCCGGAAGAAATTTCGAGAGGGACTTTCCGTCCTTTATCTCCAGATGGGGCTTATCTGGAAGCGCGGGCCCCTTACGGTATCGCTTCAGAAGGATAACACACACAACACCCTCGACTATATGCGGGAGGGCGAGCAAGCTGCCCTCCAGCGATATGGTATGTTGAGCATTTGCTGTTGATGCTTATATGCTAACTCTGCGATAGCCTTTAAACTTGCGAGTCTTCGAACTGCAGCAAAATCCGAATTTGAGCTTCGGGGTCCTTTCCCAGACGCAGCATATGGACGCATTTTGCGTTCCACTAAAAACATGCTCAATGGGTTCTATGCTATGCGACTTATTGCATCGAAACGAGATGAGTTAACAGATGGCGAGCGAGCATTACTAGAGTATACAAGTGCAGAAAGAGCTCTCCTCTGCCAACGCATTTGCCATGTGTTCCAGGTAGTTGCATCCTGCCTGATGTTGGAATACCCATTGACTGATGCGATTCCTACTGTCGAGAACAACAAGGACAGGCTTTTGGGCAAAATTTATCAATTTCGAAAGGAACACATGAGCGCAGATCTTCTAGGCGATGAATCTCCTCTCGCTATTCAGGAGAGCGACTATGCGCTGCTATATGCATACACACTTGTAACATTGCAAGTGGCGGCAGAATTGAACAAGGTGAGGGCTGAGATTGAGAGCCTTTATGGAGTCTTGCACGATGAGGCGTTGTTGTTACAGTGAACACAGAGAGGTGCTCAATAGGGGGCTGTCGGTCATTATGCATATACATAGTCATGATATCTGATTTGAAACGCCACTGATGTAACGGACCGGCGCATTATACGTCCGCGTCTAATTGTTCGTTACATATAATATACGAACGGCGTTCTTGATTATGGGATTAAATTCCGATGCCGATATCGATGTGCTGTGATACTACATCTCGTTCATGTTATGAATTATCTACAACATGCATCATTATAAATACACTATAACCCTTGTTCCTTGACGCCCCCTTGTCTTTATAACGGCCACAAATCATGGCAAGCGTGATTGTTTTCTAAATAGTACATTGTCTCAGTTTACCTTGACGGCCAACCTCATATTCGGCCCACCGAGCCACGCCCTTACGCCCTGGTACAAGGACACTGCCAGGATTCATAACGTGGCAACCTTCATAGGTAATGCAGAATGGTGGTGCCGTGGTATCAAGCAGCACCATGGCAGTGGGTAACGGGTATATGTGCAACGATGAGGCATAGTCCCAGTGAACAGGGCGGATGGCCTGACGGAAAGGCGCAAGGTAACCTTGATCGAGGACAGTTTTCACCAACTTCTGGGCGGCATGGATGTCGTGAGGAACAAGGGGACTGGCAGGTGACGCAGCAGCAGTAGCAGTCGGTTCATCATGATGAGCAGCATCAATATCCATGGGCTGAACGTCGTCGGGAGGATTAGGATCCGAACTTTGTGTCTCATCTGTACTAGTATCGTTGGCTTTAGGCTTGAGACGGACCGAGGCTCGGCGCAGACGAGCAGACACATCATCTCTGAAAAGAACAAGCTCGTGGTTAGGCCCGAAAAGACTTATTCGGCTTGGATTCGAGGTCCAAACTGCCGTACCATCTGTCTTTCCTCCAGCTTCGGCATTAGCTGTCGCAAAAGCACGACGAATTCTAGATGTAAACATGTCTGGTACTTGCTTTCGGGGCAATGGTACGGAAGCACCCGCTGTAAAGGAAGAGACCCAGCCATCGTTGTCTCCAGGGACAAAAACAAACGTAGACGAATGAAGTAGTGTTGGGAAGTCGCTGAGAGCCGAAGCCAGGGAATCAAAGTATTCCTTGTATTCGATACTTCCACCACTGCCTCCGCGTGCGAGCACAGCATGCTGAGTAAAGTTACCCATCAGCACAAATGTCAAGGGCGCTGATCCGTCGGGTTCGGCGGCATATGTCGAAAGAATTTTGCGCAAGGCTTGAAGAGTTCGGGGCTGGTCGAGGTTCAGCTCTCCTATGATAATTGCACGCCCACGAGATGGCGCATCGTCTTCCGCTCTGGGTCGAAGAAGGCGGCTCTCTAGCCTACGCATCTTGGTACCCAAGGCGCGTTCACTGCCGACGCCTAAGAAATCGATCCAGCCAAAGCCACCTCCTATGGTTTGCTC